CGGTAGGACCTGAGTCTCCTACAGAGCGTCTCAACGGTAGGACCTGAGTCTCCTACAGAGCGTCTCAACAGTAGGACCTGAGTCTCTTACAGAGCGTCTCAACAGTATGACCTGAGTCTCCTACAGAGCGTCCTACTACAGAGCGTCTCAACAGTAGGACCTGAGTCTCCTACAGAGCGTCTCAACAGTAGGACCTGAGTCTCCTACAGAGCGTCTCAACAGTAGGACCTGAGTCTCCTACAGAGCGTCTCAACAGTAGGACCTGAGTCTCCTACAGAGCGTCTCAACAGTAGGATCTGAGTCTCCTACAGAGCGTCTCAACAGAAGGACCTGAGTATCCTACAGAGCGTTTCAACAGAAGGACCTGAGCCTCCTCAAGAGCGTCTCAACAGTACCTGAGTCTCCTACAGAGCGTCTCAACAGTACCTGAGTCTCCTACAGAGCGTCTCAACAGGACCTGAGTCTCCTACAGAGCGTCTCAACAGAAGCACCTGAGTCTCCTACAGAGCGTCTCAACAGAAGGACCTGAGTCTCCTACAGAGCGTCTCAATAGTAGGACTTGAGTCTCCTACAGAGCGTCTCAACGGTAGGACCTGAGTCTCCTACAGAGCGTCTCAACAGTAGGACTTGAGTCTCTTACAGAGCGTCTCAACAGTAGGACCTGAGTCTCTTACAGAGTGTCTCAACAGTAGGACCTGAGTCTCCTACAGAGCGTCTCAACAATAGGACCTGAGTCTCCTACAGAGCGTCTCAACAATAGGACTTGAGTCTCTTACAGAGCGTCTCAACAGTAGGACCTGAGTCTCCTACAGAGCGTCTCAACAGTAGGACCTGAGTCTCCTACAGAGCGTCTCAACAGTAGGACCCGAGTCTCCTACAGAGCGTCTCAACAGTAGGACCTGAGTCTCCTACAGAGCGTCTCAACAGTAGGACCCGAGTCTCCTACAGAGCGTCTCAACAGTAGGACCTGAGTCTCCTACAGAGCGTCTCAACAGTAGGGTCTGCAGTAACAGAGACTACAGATGAAAATGAACTTGATTTATCAAACTCAGGCACGTTTACGCTGAGACCCGTTTCAAATAAATACTTTTTTATTTAAACATAGATATAAACTTTATTGTACTTTAACAGCAGAGAAACACATCCAATCAAACAAACAGATCATTCTAAAGTGTCTCACAATAATATTAAAATACAGCAGCAGCAGCAGCAGAGCTGCTTCCTGGTGCATGTCTGCATAGTCTTGGTTCGGACCATTTTCTCTGTTCCAGTTCAAAGTGAAATTCTATATTATTGCACAGTCTGTACACAAGAAAAAAACATTAGAATAACATTTAAAAATCACAGAACATTGAAACGACTGAAGGTAAAATCCTTCATCTGCAGCCAAACAAAACTGTTTTAACCTGGATTTGAACTTTATCAGAAGAAGTCTCACATTTTCAGGAAGAATATTCCTGTAGGGGCATGAATCTGAAACACAGCCTCCTTATGTTTAGTCCTGACTCTGGGACCAGCAGGAGACCAGTCCCTGTGCTCCTCAGAGTCCCAGCAGGAGGCCAGTCCCTGTGCTCCTCAGAGTCCCAGCAGGAGGCCAGTCCCTGTGCTCCTCTGAGTCCCAGTGTATTTACAGTAGATTCATAAAGAAAGTTTCTCAGGTGTGGTCTTAAACACAGATAAATAACTTCTGAGGAAGAAACGTGAGCGCACTTCAGTTGGTTGCACCTTCCTCAGATTTCAAGAAGCCGCCGCTGACTCGTCCTCGGCCTTTGACCATCATGCACCTGGATCCAAACATGGCCGCCCCAAACAGAGGCAGTGTGTGTGGAGCCGAGAACAAACACTGCTGCACTGTGTCAGAGCGGCCAATTAAACGGCTCCAAGGCCCCGGAGGCAGGAAGCTGCTATTGACTGAGAGACATCAAGAAGACACACCTCTGAGACACACACACACACACACACACACACTCAGGTGGATACCATCTGCAGGTATCGGGTCCTGGCCTCAGGGGAGCGGGCCACAACAAGCTCCTGCTATTGTCAACTCGTCCATTTGAGTCTGACGGAATAATAACACACTCACTTTAATGTGTTTGTGTTTAGGCCTGAATCTACACAGATCAGAACAGATAGACCCAGGACTGAGGCTGTAGACCCAGGACTGAACTGAGACTGTAGACCCAGGACTAAGGCTGTAGACCCAGGACTGAGGCTGTAGAACCAGGACTGAGGCTGTAGACCCAGGACTGAGGCTGTAGACCCAGAACTGAGGCTGTAGACCCAGGACTGAGGCTGTAGACCCAGAACTGAGGCTGTAGACCCAGGACTGAGGCTGTAGACCCAGGACTGAGGCTACAGACCCAGGACTGAAGCTGTAGACCAAGGACTGAGGCTATAGACCCAGGACTGAGGCTGTAGAACCAGGACTGAGGCTGTAGACCCAGGACTGAGGCTGTAGACCCAGGACTGAGGCTGTAGACCCAGAACTGAGGCTGTAAACCCAGGACTGAGGCTGTAGACCCAGAACTGAGGCTGTAGACCCAGGACTGAGGCTGTAGACCCAGAACTGAGGCTGTAGACCCAGGACTGAGGCTATAGACCCAGGACTGAGGCTGTAGACCCAGGACTGAAGTAGAGAAGAGTAAAGTAAAGTAAAGTAAAACAGAGTAGAGTAGAGTAGAGTAGAGTAGAGTAGAGTAGAGTAGAGTAGAGTAGAGTAGGGTAGGGTAGGGTAGGGTAGAGTAGGGTAGGGTAGGGTAGGGTAGAGTAGAGTAGAGTAGAGTAGAGTAGAGTAGAGTAGTGTAGAGTAGAGTAAGGTAGAGTAGAGTAGAGTAGGGTAGAGTAGGGTAGAGTAGAGTAGAGTAGGGTAGGGTAGAGTAGGTTAGGGTAGAGTAGGGTAGTGTAGGGTAGAGTAGAGTAGAGTAGAGTAGGGTAGGGTAGGGTAGGGTAGGGTAGAGTAGAGTAGGGTAGGGTAGAGTAGGGTAGGGTAGAGTAGAGTAGGGTAGGGTAGAGTAGAGTAGAGTAGGCTAGGGTAGGGTAGGGTAGAGTAGGGTAGGTTAGGGTAGGGTAGAGTAGAGTAGAGTAGGAGGACTTGTGGAAACAGTATTGAGTTAGTCATTTTTATGACACGGGCAGAACATGCAAACTTCCCACAGGAAGCCCTGGAGGTGGAATCAAACCCAGGACCTTCTGAGTCAGAGCTGGTGTTTGTCCTGGTCCTGGATAAGAGTGGCCTCGGGATGTTGTCAGACTGTGGAGGAGGTCATGCATGTCTGTGCCCTTAAGCAACGCACTTGTTTAAACTATGGTGGAGGAGAGCTCTCAGGACCAAAGACCAGAGAGAGACCAGAGAGAGACCAGAGAGAGACCAGAGGGAGACCAGAGAGAGACCAGAGAGAGACCAGAGAGAGACCAGAGAGAGACCAGAGAGAGACCAGAGGGAGACCAGAGAGAGACCAGAGAGAGACCAGAGAGAGACCAGAGAGAGACCAGAGGGAGACCAGAGAGAGACCAGAGAGAGACCAGAGGGAGACCAGAGAGAGACCAGAGAGAGCCCAGAGAGAGACCAGAGAGAGACCAGAGAGAGAGAAACTTTCCCTAAGGACCAATGACTTCTATGTTTGTTGTCATTTTGTTGCCTGTGTTTAAAGTGTTTGATTTTCTGAACTGTTGTTTGCGAATCGACAACTTTTGAAAGTCCTTCAGACGAACTGAACATTACAGTCTCCACCTGAGAAACCCTCAAGAACCTCTGAGAAACTGAAGGACCCTGGACTCAAAGAAAACACTCAGCAAGAGCAACGTCAGCAACAGACGGAAGTGTGAGCGTCAGCAGAGAGACAGAGAGAGAGACCAGAGAGTCAGCAGAGAGAGAGAGAGAGAGAGAGAGAGAGGCCAGAGAGAGAGAAGAGTCAGCAGAGAGAGACCAGAGAGAGACCAGAGAGAGAGCGAGCAGAGAGAGAAGAGAGAGGGAGAGAGACCAGAGTCAGAGGCCAGAGAGAGTCAGCAGAGAGAGACCAGAGAGAGGGAGAGAGACCAGAGAGAGAGAGAGAGAGAGAGAGAGAGACCAGAGAGAGAGAGAGAGAGAGGGAGAGAGAGAGAGAGAGAGAAGAGGCCCCTCACTCTCAGATCTGTCGTTGAAGACTCATGAATCCAGGTCAAAGCAATGTTTTTGGGCAACATTTTATTTTGTTTATTAAAAAAAAGAAAAAAAAGAAACGGAACAAAGACAAAAAGATAAAATCCTTCATTTCAAAGTGACAACACGTGACCGCGGCTCAGAGAGAAGCTAACATCAAAGTGCTATGGACCGTACCTGACAGCGCCCTCTGCTGGCCGCCACTTCCGGGTAGTACTCAAGAGCAAAATAAATAACAGGTCCACGAGCAGAAAATCACAAAAATAAAATAGTTTTCTATAACAATCTAAAGACTTTGTAACAGAACCCTGAGGACGCTTCTTTAAAAGTGCATTACATCAAAATACTTTATCAACCATAGACTGTGCACGAGGACTGTGCACGAGGAGTGTGTGACATCACTGTATGACATCACCAGAGTCTGAGCCTTAATGCAGAAGAGGCTAGTTTCAACGTAAGCTAGCTGGAGCTGGTTTCCTTACATGGACATTTGTTCTGCGGCGTTAGCTTCGAACTGTAACAGGAGCAGAATGACCAGAGAGAGAGACCAGAGAGAGACCAGAGAGAGACCAGAGAGAGACCAGGGAGACCAGAGAGAGCACAAATAAAGGTTGCAAAGACAAGCTGCAGTTCCCCTACGATGGAGGCCTCTGATTGGTCACTCCTGATAAGGCTCATATCTGGATTAACAACACAATATAAACACCTAAAGCACAGCTGGAGGAGTCAACAGGAGCCAAACTTCGCCATTAGCACGTGATGGAGCTAGCGTGTTAGCATGGTCCATCATACACAGTCTATGGTTAACAGGACTTTAAGACTTTGGTGGTAGTATGATTCAGTGCCATATGATAATATTCCTTTAATCCTCTTTGTTCCACTTGGGCACCACGACTCGCCGATACGTCCTGCGCTCTGAGATGTTGCGCTTGACTTTGACCGGAGGAGGAGCGTTGGCGGCGTCCATCTCCAGAGACGGGCTGGAGTGAGACTTCTTCATCCCGCCCTCCTCCTCTTCCTCGTTTTCGGCCTCTGGACACAGGTCTCTGTCGAAGCGGTTCAGGTCCGTGGGGACGAAGGTGCCGTCGGCTGAAGTCCGAGTCCTGCTCCAGACCTGCAAGACCCGCACGAAGGCCTCGTACCGACAGACCTGCAGCGAGGAGAGTGTGTTAGTGTGTGTGTGTGTGTTTGAGTGTGTGTGTGTGTGTGTGAGTGTGTGAGAGAGAGAGACCAGAAAGAGATCAGAGAGAAAGACCAGAGAGAGACCAGAGGGAGAGACCAGAGAAAGACCAGAGAGAGACCAGAGAGAGACCAGAAAGAGACCAGAGTGAGACTAGAGAGACAGACCAGAGAGAGAGACCAGAGAGAGACCAGAGAGAGAGACCAGAGAGAGACCAGAGAGAGACCAGAGAGAGAGACTAGAGAGACAGACTAGAGAGAGAGACCAGAGAGAGAGACCAGAGAGGCCAAAGAGAGATCAGAGAGAGACCAGAGAGAGACCAGAGAGACCAGAGAGAGACCAGAGAGAGACCAGAGAGAGACCAGAGAGAGAGACTAAAGAGACAGACTAGAGAGAGAGACCAGAGAGAGAGACCAGAGAGAGACACCAGAGAGAGAGACTAGAGAGACAGACTAGAGAGAGAGACCAGAGAGAGAGACCAAAGAGAGACCAGAGAGAGACCAGAGAGAGAGACCAGAGAGAGACCAGAGAGAGACCAGAGAGACCTGCGTACCTCATATTGCAAGTACTCTGCTCTGAGCCGATGCTCCTCCAGCTCCTTGGTCTTGGCTCTTCTGCCCTCTGGTGGATTCTCTTGGAGCTGCGACAGATCCGCTCTGAAGGACTGCAACATTCCCGAGTGAGACTGCAGCTGCCGCTCCTGGTCCCGGTCAAAACACACCAGAGAGAAAAGTTTAGGCTGAAATTGAGTCATCGAAATTATTGTTATCAAACTTGTTTTGCTTATAAAAGAGAGACCAGAGAGGGACCAGAGAGAAACACCATAAAGAGATCAGAGAGAGCAGAGAAAGACCAGAGAGAGACCAGAGAGAGACCAGAGAGAGCAGAGAAAGACCAGAGAGAGACCAGAGAGAGACGTAAGAGGGACCAGAAAGGGACTGGAGAAAGAGACCAGAGAGAGACCAGAAAGGGACCAGAGAGAGATCAGAGAGATCAGAGAGAGACCACATATCCTCACACATGGTTCTTATATTCAACTTAAGTGCAGCCTTTATGTGGAACACATGGATTCATTCTCAGATGTAAGTGTCGCGGTCCAGAAAGTGTGGTAGTTACAAATGCGATCGTAGTATTGAAGTCGTTACCAGAGTGTTGGCAGACTGCGCCGCGGGGAGAATGGGCCGACAGAACCTCCTCTGGGATCCTACTGCAGCCGGGAACGGAGGAGCAGAGTGTAGAGCAGACAGAAGGTTCACTCTGTTCATCCAGGACGACATCTCTGCTCTGGACCTGGGACCAGAGAGAGACCAGAGAGATCAGAGAGAGACCAGAGAGAGACCAGAGGGAGAGCAGAGAGAGAGCAGAGGGAGAGCAGAGGGATCAGAGGGATCAGAGAGAGACCAGAGAGAGACCAAAGAGATCCGAGAGAGACCAGAGAGATCAGAGAGAGACCAGAGGGAGACCAGAGAGAGACCAGAGAGAGAGCAGAGGGATCAGAGAGAGACCAGAGGGAGACCAGAGAGAGACCAGAGGGAGACCAGAGGGATCAGAGAGAGACCAGAGGGAGACCAGAGAGAGAGCAGAGGGCGACCAGAGAGAGAGCAGAGGCAGAGCAGAGAGAGAGATCAGAGAGAGAGCAGAGGGAGAGCAAAGAGATCTGAGAGACCATAGAGAGACCAGAGAGAGACCAGAGAGAGACCAGAGAGAGATAACAGAGAGAGACCAGTACGATCAGAGAGAGATCAGAGAGAGACCAGAGAGACCCCGGAGAGACCAGAGAGAGACCAGAGAGAAACCAGAGAGAGACCAGAGAGAAACCAGAGAGAGACCAGAGAGAGACCAGAGAGAGACCAGAGAGAGAGACCAGAGAGGCCCGAGAGGCCAAAAAGAGATCAGAGAGTGATCAGAGAGAGAGACCAGGGAGAGAGACCAGAAAGTGACCGGAGGGAGACCAGAGAGGGACCAGAGAGAGACCAGAGAGAGACCAGAGAGAGAGACTAGGGAGAGAGACCAGAGAGACCGGAGGGAGACCAGAGAGAAACCAGAGAGAGACCAGCGAGAGACCAGAGGGAGATCAGAGAGAGACCAGAGAGGGACCAGAGAGAGACCAGAGAGAGACCAGAGAGAAACCAGAGAGACCAGAGAGAGACCAGAGAGAGACCAGAGAGAAACCAGAGAGACCAGAGAGAGACCAGAGACTCACGAGGCTTGGAAGAGGAACACCCTCCAGTCTGCGGTCTGCAGGCGGAACACGTGAGGGCGTTTGGTGTATTCTTCGGCCTCTTTAGCGAGAGAGTGATGCAGACTCAGCAGCTCCTCACTCACCTCGCGCCTGTACTCGTCCTGATCACACACAGTTATTCTTTAATATTTTTAGTAAAGTTTTTTTACAATTCAATGTGTCTAAAATAAATTATAAATTGTTCACGTGCACAGCCGCTCTCTCTCTGGTCTCTCTCTGGTCGCTCTCTGGTCTTTCTCCTCTCTATCTGGTCTCTCTCGGGTCTCTCTCTGGTCTCTCTCTGGTCTCTCTCTGGTCTTTCTCCTCTCTATCTGGTCTCTCTCGGGTCTCTCTCTGGTCTCTCTCTGGTCTTTCTCTCTGGTCTCTCTCCTCTCTCTCTGGTTTCTCCCTCATCTCTCTTTCTCTCTCTCTATAGTTTATCTTTGGTCTCTCCCTCTGGTCAATCTTTCTGGTCTCTCTCTATGGTCTCTCGCTTTCTCTGGTATTTCGCTTTCTAGTTTCTCTCTCTTTGGTTCTCTCTTGGCTCTCTCTTTCTATGGACCTCTCCCTATGGTCTCTCTCTCTCTATGGTCTTTCTCTGGTCTTTCTCTCTGGGTTTCTCTGGTCTCTCTCTCTATAGTCTAACTTTGGTCTCTTCTCTGGTATTTCGCTCTCTCTCTGGCGTCTCTTGGCTCCCTCTCTCTCTATGGCCTCTCTTTCTCTTTTGTCTCTCTCTGAACTCTCTAGTCGCTCTCTCTTTGGTTCTCCCTTGGCTCTCTCTCTCTGCTGACATATCCCCTCTTCCTCCCCACATTTCAGACTCTCACCTTGTGGAAGTAGAGCACCATCCCACGGAGCACCACATTAAACATTTTCCATCCTCTTTTCCCCCACGGAGCTGAAGCAGAGAGAGAGAAACCCCAGCGTGAGTCAAAACTGTGAATCTGATTTCATAAAGTCTCCTCTTCTTCGGAGGCACTCACTGCGTTTTCCGTCTGCGTCTGCGTGGATCTTCCTTTGGAGAAACCCTTCTTTAATAACTACGGCGTTTTTGTCGATGGGGACGTCCAGGAAGGGGTTTGCTTTGGACCGGAGCGGAGCCGGGTCTTCTCTCTCCTCCTCCAGCAGCACAGAGCTCATCTCCTCCTCCGCTCTTCACACACAGAGAGTGGACACGACTTTGATTCTTTTTACCGACTGGATTCAAGCGGCTCAGGGTTTGCCCTTTGTCAAGTCGGTTTTGGAAATGCTAGATCTGTTTCTCTAATACAGTTTCAGGGAGAGAGAGAGAGAGAGAAAGAGAAAGACAGAGAGAAACCAGAAAAAGAGAGCTAGAGCGAGACAGCGAGACCAGAGAGATACCAGAGAGAGTCCAGTGAGAGACCAGAGAGAGACCAGAGAGAGACCTGAGAGACCAGAGAGACCAGAGAGGATACTTACACTGCCCATGGAAGCGGCTCCGTCTTTATAGAGTTGTATAAACTCTGAAGTAAAAACACAATAAAAACATTTTTGTGTTAAACATTTTTAACCTCATTACCCTAAATAACCCTAACTAACCCTAACTAACCCTAAATAACCCAAACTAACCCAAACTAATCTACCCTGGCCATAGCCATCCGTACACTCCGCTCAATCATCATTTCACTGCATGTAACGTCTGGGTCTGGTCCCTGTGTTAGCGAATACAATCGGTCGTATTTCGACCGGCTACTCAGAGAACGCGGAAGGCGGGTGTTGTAGGTCGGTGCCGGTGACGTCAAGAGTTTGTGCCGAACGGGCAGGTTGTAGTTTGGCAATGGCGAAGAATGCGATAGTAAAGTAATCCGGTCTAGTTCTATCAAGAAATTGAAGCAGGAGCAAAAGGAATGTTCATCAAATGTAATCGCTGGTCAAGATTGTGGCGCTTCTCCCCACGGGCTCCGTTAGCGGCAAAGGAGATGGCTAGGCTAAATGCTAACAACTCACTCAAGCGCACTACATACGTCACGGTAAACTCAGATCCAATCGTTTCAATCTGCAAAAGGAGTTAACCCCTCCCACCTGTTCACGGAGTCAATGGAGCAAATCCAGACCTTAGTATGAAATTTAATTTGTACTAAGGTGGGGTACAACCAGGCTAAAACTAACCCAAACTAACCCTAAATAACCCTAAATAACCCAAACTAACCCTAAATAACCCTAAATAACCCAAACTAACCCAAACTAACCCTAAATAACCCTAAATAACCCAAACTAACCCAAACTAACCCTAAATAACCCGCACATATTTATGTAAAAGCAGAAATCTTTACTTTGAGAAGGTCCTTGTTGAAGTTTTCTCCTTCGTTCATCCCGTCCAGGTTGGACACAAACTTGGAAGAGGACATGGACTTTCCCACGAGCTGCAGGAGAACACACCATCAACACAGACCAGGAATCTACCAGAACTCACCAGGAATAATAATACTAGAAAGAATAACACCATAATAATACCAGAATAATACTAGAACTCCCAGAGCAGTCAATTTTACGGCTTTTAGTTTTGTAAGTGTCTTCATAACTTTTTCTATCTCCAAAGTTTATTTCATTGTTTTTACGGAGAAGTAAGTAATGTTTATTTATATAGACCTTTCTCAGACCAGAGTCACAGACCTTTACAGTTGTTACATTGTTGTAAACCGCTTTGTGACTCTGGTCTGTGAAAGGCGGTATATAAATAAAGCTTACTATTACTACATTAGTCTGACTCCACACAGAGATGGGAGGGGCCAGTACAGGAGCCACAGACCTATTGTACATGTTTTTAGTGGTAGGGGAAACCGGAGCACCCGGAGGAAACCTTCGCAGACACAGGGAGAACATGCAAACTCCACTCAGAAAGGCCCTGGTCCGACCGGGATTCAAACCCAGGACCTTCTTGTAAGTAAGTAAGTAAGTAAGCTTTATTTATATACCGCCTTTCACAGACCAGAGTCACAAAGCGGTTTACAATTGTTATTTTTTTGGGCACTTGTCCTCTCACTCCACACAGAGATGGGAGCGGGGTCGCCGAACAGGAGGCGCATGCCAGACCTATTGTACATATTTTTAGTGGTAGGGGAAACCGGAGTACCTGGAGGAAACCTACGCAGACACGGGGAGAACATGCAAACTCCACTCAGAAAGGCCCTGGTCCGGCCGGGATTCGAACCCAGGACCTTCTTGCTGAGAGGCGAGAGTGCTATCCACTCAGCCACCGTGTTCTTAACCCAGTGAGTGTGTGGCCTCGTACCTGTCCGTGCAAGTCTGTGTTGAGAAGCATCACGGCACACGTCAGAGCCAGAACACAGCCTGCAGAGAGAGAGGGGGAGAGAGAGGGTGAGACATAGGGGGAGAGAGGGAGGGACAGAGAGAGAGGGTGAGACACAGGGGGAGAGAGGGAGGGACAGATAGAGAGGGTTAGAGAGAGGGTGAGACACAGGGGGGAGAGAGGGTGAGACATAGGGGGAGAGAGGGAGGGACAGAGAGAGAGGGTGAGACAGAGAGAGAGGGTGAGACACAGAGAGAGAGGGTGAGACACAGAGAGAGAGTGAGACACAGAGAGAGGGTGAGACACAGAGAGAGAGTGAGACACAAGCTGCGTTTCCATTGAATAATGCGCAAAAACTTTTTCGATACATTGCAAAATTTGAAAAACCTGTATTTCGCAAAAGCGGCCGTTTCCATTAAGACATATTCGAATAAGTATACACTATTTTCGCGCGTTTATTCACTAGTTTCTAGTATGTCAACATGGCAACAGAAGTAAACAACACTTTGATTTACGTGAGATATATCAATGTCTTGACTTCTGCGGCGGCTCTCATCATTAACCGGATTAAGCGTCGGTGGCATCTCCTTCTAGTGTAATGGAGCGGCGATCTCCGTATACTTGGGAGAGGATGCGGATGAGAACCTTTTGGGAAGTCTGTTCGGTAGCCTCAAAAGGCACGTTTGTTTGTTCATGTTTATGTAAAAATAAATATACGCTATATATTCATCTGCGTTTTGAACAAATTTGCAAAAATGTTTTGATACATTAAAAAAATCTCTCTTGAATTGTAGAAGTGAATAAATATAGATTGATTGAATTAATTAATTAATTCATATTTATTATGCAGCGATGTCTCTGAGCTGCATAATAAGCAGCGTCATGGACGCAGCCTGGCTCGGGGTAGAAGTGCGCACTGAAGCGCTGTACACTAAGAGAGCGTTAGCAGTCCAGATTTCACAAAGAAACTCTGGAGCCAAAACTTCTGCACATTTGAGGAGTTATGTGGCCGACCTCTCATGGCACCTGCTCTGCATGCATTCCCAAGAGTGTGCAGTGGGTGGACAGGGCAGTGAGACATTTGGAGTGAGCAATACCATAGTCTATCGGTGCGTTAATGGGGTGTGTGTCTGTGTGAGGCTTACACAAATCTAATGAAAACATACATTGCTTTACCAGATGTGAGGACTACAAATAGCCGTGCGTAATTACGCAGCGCAGAGCCTGCCACAGCAATAGCTGGGTCACACATCCCTGTCGCGTAAAGTGTATTTGTATAGAGCCTTTCACTGTCCAGGATCACAAAGCGCTTCACATTTAAAAAACACATACAGATCAAAATAATACACACAGAAGTCAGATTTAAAATCATAGAAACAGAAGAGACTCCTCATCATGATCTGTGATTTATTTAAAGTTTGCGTGTTTCCAGAGTGTTACACTTTTTCTGATGCGCAAATTTTAAAACACGATGCTCAATGAAAACACAGCTTATAATTTTGCCAGAGGGAATATGTTTATTGTTGTCTACATTTTGAATTTCATGCGTGTTTTGGCGTGTTGTGCCGAAGGTTGAGATCAGCGTATATATTTACACCACCTCCAGACCTGGCGTATATTTTTTGCGTATTGTACGCTCACATCCAGATAGATAAATGCGGAAAAGTGTAATATTTTGCGTACGCCTCATTTACACCCTGATTTGGCCGTACGCAGGTTTCATACATGAGGCCCACAGTGAGGCCCACAGTGTGTCTCACACAGACCTAGAGTTTACCTCATCAGTGCGAGGCGAGCCAGGCCTGACCGCGCTCTCCTCCTCTGGGACCTACGGGCCCGGGCCTCTGGCTACTCTGCCTCTCGAAGTTCACGCTGAACTTTCTTAAAACTAAAATTAAAAAGGCTGCTTTGTTGTGAATGTTTTGAGAGCGTTGTCAATCTTTAAGACGAGGAAGAGCTGGTTGTTCTCGGGAACGAGCTTCGTGCTGTTTGATGTGATCATGCAGATTATTGGACAAAATTGTTCAGCCAATAAACAGGACTATATTTGAAGCAATGTAGGAACGTGATGACGCTCAGGGGGTTATATTTTCTTAAAACATTAGAACGCAACATTTAGGCAATAATGTGTGTATAAAAACAACAAGCGTAAAATTTGCCACGGCTTTTCGTACCGTGCCTCGTTCATTTCTCTTTCCAGGTCTTTATAAATAGTTGCGTTCCTTTGCTGCTTTGTGTCCAATATGTTTGTAATCCCACTTTCCCGAAATTAAATTAAAGAAGTAATTAGTTTCCTCGTGTGTCCAAACGTAGCAAGTCATGTTTTGTTTCCTTGAGATGCTGCTACCGTTAATATAATAGATCCATGGCTGCTACCTGCTACTTCTTGTTTTCTTCTTCTGTGTTTTGGGTTTAACAACACCCGGCTTCCTCCGCTATATCGAAATAAGTGTTTCCATTGCCGTTTTGCAAAAAACTTAATTTCAATACGTCCAAAAAACCACCGATTTTAAGCGCATTAACTTTTTATCGAAAAACTGTAATAAATTCGAAATTTGCGCGTTTCCATTAGACATTTTATGATGCGCAAATTCAAATTTCGAAATTTGATGCTCTATGGAAACGCAGCTACAGAGAGAAAGGGTGAGACACAAAGAAAGGGTGAGACACAGAGAGAGAGGGTGAAACACAGAGAGAGAGGGTGAGACACAGAGAGGTTGAGACACAGAGAGAGGGTGAGACACAGAGAGGGTGAGACACAGAGAGGTTGAGACACAGAGAGAGGGTGAGACACAGAGAGAGAGGGTGAGACACAGAGAGAGAGAGTGAGACACAGAGCGAGAGGGTGAGACACAGAGAGAGTGAGACACAGAGAGAGAGGGTGAGACAGAGAGAGAGAGAGAGACAGAGAGTGAGACACTGAGAGAGAGTGAGACACAGAGAGACAGACAGAGAGTGAGACGTGTGGTGTGTAGGGGCTGGAGCAGGACTGTGGGCTACAGGAAGACCACGGTGCGTCCTCTGAACTAATCACGAACAAACACACACACACACACACACACACACATACAACACACAACACACAACACACACCCACACACACACACACACCTGAGCAGTGGAAGCAGCCCTGGTTGCAGCAGTGGTAGCGGTTGGAGAAGTGGTTCAGGACTCGCTCTCTCTCTTGACTCTCTCCGATCAGCACCACCACCGACAAGAAAGACCTGAAATATACAAATCATTTTTATGAGAAAGAGACCAGAGAGAGACCAGAGAGAGAGACCAGAGAGAGACCAGAGAGAGAGACCAGAGAGAGAGACCCGAGAGAGACCAGAGAGAGAGACCCGAGAGAGAGAGGAGAGCGAGAGAAACAGATGTGCACAAAGATTTACAGACATAATTCCATGATGACTCAGGTCTATGTGACATCACCTCAGGGCCTCGTCCAGAGTCTGTCCACGGAAGTCAAAGTGTTTCAGGTATTCTTCTCCCACTGCACGACTGAAGCTGTTACTGCACAGAGACAGACACATGAGTCCTGGGTCTACAGCCTCAGTCCTGGGTCTACAGCCTCAGTCCTGGGTCTACAGCCTCAGTCCTGGATCTACAGCCTCAGTCCTGGATCTATAGCCTCAGTCCTGGATCTACAGCCTCAGTCCTGGATCTACAGCCTCAGTCCTGGATCTACAGCCTCAGTCCTGGTAGAATTTCTTGTTTTAAAGCTGGGATACCTAACTTTAAAACCACAGTAAAAGAAGCGTGTTATAAAACCACATGCATGGTTATAAAACCATGCATCCACACACTTAATAAATGCATCTGCAAGGAGCTAGTCCAGAACAAAAATCTGAAAAAACCTGCAGGAGAACCATAGAGATCTGAACAGAACGTCAGGGATCTGCTTCTCTTCGTAGTTAGGCACTGCCCTGGCCTCCTCCATCTACACCTGCCCTGCCCGACCCGCCTGGGTCGTGCACCGGACCTGTCAAGGTTCAGCGGCCGCTGGTCCTTGTTCTGTAGCTTAGGTCCTGGATCTATAGCCTCAATCCTCGTTCTACAGTCTGACTCCTGGATCTATAGCCTCAGTCCTCGTTCTACAGTCTGACTCCTGGATCTATAGCCTCAGTCCTCGTTCTACAGTCTGACTCCTGGATCTATAGCCTCAGTCCTCGTTCTACAGTCTGACTCCTGGATCTATAGCCCATCCGTCCGTGGGAGCGGATCCCTTTCTCAAACCATGGGTCTCCCTGAGGTTTCTCACTCTTTCCCACTGGGTTTTCTTCTGAGTTTTTCCTCTGATGCAGGAGGGTCTGTTGGACAGTTAGTGTCCAACTAGAAGGACTGTGGTGATCCAGGACACTTTAACATTCTACATGTATGACATTTATCACATGTGTTCTATATTCTTTATGTGTGTTAACTGTTGATTCTCTGATCTGTGTTGGTGATTTCAATGGTTTTGTTAAGTCTCTGAGATGATACTGATGTGATTTAGGGAAATACAAGAATAAATTGTTGTTCTTGTTGTAGTTTCATAATAACGCTTTTAAAAGTTTTATATGTGCCTCACTGTCTCCCTTTTTTTATTCTTTTTGTCTGTTTGTGCGTGTTTTGTGGTGTCAATAAGTTGACTCTGACTCTGATTCTGGATCCGTTCCCACAGAGCGGCTGTAATCTGAGAGAATCATAATAATAAAGGTTCTTACTCTTTATCCAAGTATTTGACCACATCTTTCCGCTGGATGTCGTCCAACTTGAACAGTCTCTGGGCCAAAACCCGGGCCCGGTCTCGGTCCAAGTCTCCGTTGGTCTGCGCGGTCTCCACAGTACTCCCTCTGTACTGCTCGCCCCCATCCTCCTCCTCCTCCTCCTCCTCTTCCACCTTGTAAACAGTCGTCTCCGTGACTTGGACACCGGGGTGGACTTCCTCTGGGCTCCGGTGACACTCGCTGCTGCTTTGGACTCTCTCTGTTGTCCGTGGCTCGTCCTGGATCCGGAGAGATGCGGCGTTTTGCGATGGAGCCGTACAATCCTCCTGCAGGTGGAAAACATCCAGAGAGTTCTCCGAGGGTTCCGGGTCTTGGGCGTGCTCCTCCTCTTCCTCACGCTGCACACCCACCGCTCGGCGACACATGGCAGGGTCAGGGTCCGCCTCCGCAGCCTCCTCTTCACAAACCGGCTGTGAATGGTACTGCCTCGTCTCCTCAAAGCGCGATAGGTCCTCCAGGAGCTGCTCCAGCTCTGTCAGCTGGTCCGGGTCGATGCTGAAGTCTGCTTCCTCCCGCCGCACACTAAGAAACAGACACAAAAGCAGACTTATACACTGGCTCTGCTTCCTCTTCTGCTTTCACCGCACTCACCCTGCACTCCTCTGGCTGGCAGCTGTGGTCTCGTCTTCAGGAAGAATCTTCGCCGTGTCCTTCTCTCTTCCGGAGATTTTGTCACTGTTTACTAAAGCTGGCACTTCCTCCAAACCGTTCTGTCCGCTCAGCAAAACGTCAGCGTCGTTTGGGCTTTCCACCAGCCTCAAATGCTCAATATCGTCCTCTATGAAACCAGCAAATTGGATTTCTACACAGCTATGGAAGAAGTCTGGCTCCACGGAGGGTCTGTGTTTCTCCCCTGGAACACGAGAACTCAGCGATGTGCCTTTAAAACAAGATTAAAGATTCAGCTCGTGAAATAATTACAAGAAAATGGTCTTATTCTGATTGTTACCGAAGTGGTCGAACTGCCGGTGATCCTCCTCTGTGCTTTCCGAGTCACATGGCTAAAAGTTTAAAACAGAGAGGGCTGTGATGTTGAGGATTGTGTTCAAAACTTCAAATAAATACTATATTTATTCAACAACAACACGGTTACCATAGCACAGAACCACAGCGCTAAATGAAATGACTTTGGCTTCCTGTTTTATGCTAGGTTCGTTTCCCCACACCTGAGGGGACTCCCGAAAATCTTGGTATTTTGTCCCACTGCGAGTTTCCCTCAACCAAACCATAACTCCGGTCACCAAGCCTTTTACTTTCTTTCTTTACAGTTCAGGATTATAGTTATCAGGGGTCAGAGAGAGACCAGAGAGAGACCAGAGAGAGACCAGAGAGAGACCAGAGAGAGAGAGAGAGAGAGACCAGTGAGAGACCAGAGAGAGACCAAAGAGAGAGACCAGAAAGAGACCAGAGAGAGAGACCAGAGAGAGACCAGAGAGAGACTAGAGAGACCAGAGAGAGACCAGAGAGAGACCAGAGAGAGAGACCAGAGAGAGAGACCAGAGAGAGACCAGAGAGAGACTAGAGACCAGAGAGAGACCAGAGAGAGACCAGAGAGAGTCCAGAAAGAGACCAGAGAGAGAGACCAGAGAGAGACCAGAGAGAGACCAGAGAGAGAGACCAGAGAGAGACCAGAAAGAGACCAGAGAGAGAGACCAGAGAGAGACCAGAAAGAGACTAGAGAGAGACCAGAGAGAGACCAGGGAGGGACCAGAAAGAGAGACTTTAAATAAAGGTAAGGTCATGTTATATCAGCAGTTATATCATGGTGTTGGAGTAAACACACAAAAATATGAAAAACTATTGAGGCCAGGTATGAGGGACCAGCAATGACAACTCAGATCACCTGGTCTTGTAAAAACACACATTGTTACCTTTAAATTGGGCCCCATCCATTCCGGCTCCGAGCAGAGAAGCAGCCACGAATCAAACTCGTCTTGTTCCTCGGCTTCTTTGCACAGATCACTGCTGAGACTTTCTGAGCGAATGGGGAAGGAAGCTTTGAGAGCCTGAGTCACAGGATCCGAATCCAGCTGATTGGACGAAACTCCATCCGTGACCAGTGGAGAAGCCGTGGCGCTGGTCCTGGTCCCGGCCCAGTCCACTGCGGCTGTGCACACCGGCCACACTATCTGCTCCCATGTCTCCTTGTCCGAATCCGCGGACTCTCCCTCTCCGGCTCCTCGCTCCTCCGCCACCACGCCCCCTGCCTGTCCGTTGAGGTACTGACGCTCTGCCGACGGGTCTTGGCGAGGTCGGGAGGAGCACAAGTCTTCCTCCTCCATTTGCAAGTCCGTGTTTGGTCAGAGGAATGGAAAAACAGCATGAAGAAGCCAAAGATGATGTTGATGTTTTGGGTGACGGATTATAGAGTATGGTGACTGCAGCTAGCGACGCGTGGCCGTTTCTGAAACACAAGACAGAATCCATAAGTTTGCTATGTTTATACCTCCAGCTCGGGAAATCAATAAGAGAGAGCGAGGCGGCTGATGTGAATGCACCAGAGAATATCTATGTGAGACACTTCCTGGAACAGAAAAACATCAAGTAGATTGGTATGGATTATTCAAACTCACAGAGACACTGAGAAAGACTTACCATGTGTTAAAAAAGCTACAGTTAAAGGTCTATCCGAGTCTGACTGATGGATGATTCTGTACAAAGGTCCTCACTGAACAAAGCTACAGTGCGTTCTCACTTCCTGAGCAGAGAAAGTGAGTGGAGGAGAAGGGTGGGGAGGAGTCCGTGGGCTGTGTCTTGCTCGCGCTCTATTAAAACTGCCTGCTTTTGTTTGTGTTTTTGCTCCAATGTGACCCTCAGACTCCAAACTGCCGCTGTCATCTCTGTCGGCAAAACACACATGTCTCAGCAACAAAGAGAACAACAAACACATCAGCTGAGCCAGAGAGTTAGCTAACGACCTCAAGATCACACAACTCACCTTCACGGACACAACTGGCTGGAATATAAGTGTGTGTGTGTGTGTGTGTGTGTGTGTGTGTGTGTGTGTGTGTGTGTGTGTGTGTGGGTGTGTGTGTATGTGCGTCTTATGTCATCTGTGGTTGTGTAATGTATTGTATATCTGTATGTACTGTACTGCATTGTTGTGTTTTGAATTCCACTGCATGATATTGTTATAGCATTGTGTGTGTGTGTGTGTGTGTGTGTGTGTCTCTGTATGTGTGTGTGTGTGTCTCAGTATGTGTGTGTGTTTGTGTGTGTTCGTGTATGTGTGTCTGTGTGTGTTTATGTGTGTTCATGTATGTATGTGTATGTGTTTGTGTGTTTGTGTAAGTGTGTACGTGTGTTTGTGTAGGTGTGTATGTGTGTGTGTGTGGGTGTGTGTGTGTGTGTGTGTGTGTGTATGTATGATGTTCATGTATGTGTGTGTGTGTTTGTGTGTGTGTGCATGTGTGTTTGTGTATGTGTGTGTGTGTGTGTAACCCTAACACACACACACACACAGGTCCATCTTAACCAATCCCTGATGTAACTGTCCTTTATAACTGTGTCCTGTGTGATGTGTGTGTTGCTGAAACAAATGACGACCAGCCAACTTCAGCTTCATCCATCAAAGCTATAGCTCATTGTGAAGCTCAGAACTTCTCTCCAGTCCTTAACTTTATTCGTATAAAGGGATTGTTGGTGACTGTGTCCTTAAAGTCCGGCGCTGATGAAGCCGAGCAGAGAGAAAACACCAACACACTTCTGTCAAATCTAAATGACTACTTCAGCTCATGTTTAAGCTCAGAAAAACCTGATTTGGTCCAAACTGTTTTACTGTGTGTGTTGTTCGCCCTGTCTCAAAAGTGTGGACACCCCTGCTCTGTGCTCAGGTGAGAGCAACATCCGGGACACACACACTTCCTGCTGCTAAACCTCAACAGGAACTCACATCTCAGCAACTTCACTGTGGCTTTTACTTCATACAGAGAATATAATCACAGAAAAGGAACGTTTTTTGGTATTGATGACGACAAAATATTAAGTAAATCTATGTATTTAAAGTTTTTATCAGTCGTTTTGGTGCATTTCTCAGACTTAAACTATTAGTTCAACCCCCACAACATTGAGTCATGTGTGACATCATCGCAGCAGTTTCTCCTTTGAACACATTTCAAATGCTTTTGTTCATGTATCAGTTACTTTCATACAATTCTCTGTGTTGTTTAACATTATCATTAGCTTCTGTCCTGTCAGTCAGAATGAAACATACTTAAAACTAATAGTCCTCATACATAAATACATACAGTACATACATACATATACACATACAGTACATATACACATACAGTACATACATACATATACACATACAGTACATATACACATACAGTACATACATACATATGTGTCTTGTACTCAGTTACTTAAATACAGTCATGTGTAACTTTACTGTAGTTTTCAAACAGTTGTACAGATGTAAAGTGCTCATTGAATTAAAAGAAACACAGAGAGTAAAGTGCCACAGTGAAAACATGACTAAACCATGTGACTGGTTCATAAACACTGGAGTCAGGACTTATTATTTTGGTGACACAGACAGTCTCTTTGACCTGAAGACTTGCTTTTGAGGAATTAACTTTTCATTTTGAGAAAGTGACTTTTGCAGGTTTTCCACAAGGTTTTGCACTTGTATACTAATTGTTCTGAGTTAGAGCACTAAAGCGAATCCTGAGAAAAACGGTATTTATTGAGGCTATTGAACGCTCACGCATGGTATAATGTTATAATGTGTTGTACTGTGGATGTAAGAGTTATGTCATGGCTCCAATGTTTATGTGAAGGCATCGACCTGGCATCAGAGTGGGTTGAGAAACAGAGAGAGAAGGAGAGAGATGGAGAGAAAGGGACCAGAGATAGACAGAGAGAGAAGGAGAGAGACAGAGAGAGAAGGAGAGAGAGAGAGACAGACCAGTGAGAGAGACAGAGGGGGAGACAGAGAGACAGAGAGAGCTGGAGAGAGATGGAGAGAAAGGGACCAGAGAGAGACAGAGAGAGAAGGAGAGAGACCAGAGAGACAGAGAGAGAAGGAGAGAGAGAGAGACAGACCAGCGAGAGAGACAGAGGGGGAGACAGAGAGAGACAGAGAGAGCTGGAGAGAGCGAGAGACACACACACACACACACACAGAGAAAGAGACAGAGAGGGAGACAGAGACAGAGAGACAGAGAGAGAGGGAGACAGAGAGAGAGAGTTTATTACCCATAATTGTGCAAATCATTCATTCCTTAACATGTAATAGCAGCATGTGTCTGTATGTAGGTCACCAATGCAGCACAAATGCCCACGACATCTGTAAACAGCTGTCAGTCAAAGGCTCTGTGTAAATAAAGAGTTCTTACTAATAACTTACTGTGTGTTTAGGTAAAGTCTGACTGTGTAAGCCTAACTCCAAAGTTAATGACCATGTTTACCTGCTCCAGGGTTGTGGACATTAATAACTGCGATAATAACACACAACAAACCCATAGAACTACGGAGAATGATGATTCACCCATGACTTACCGCTGCTGGCTTTAGTATCATATGACCATCTGCTTGTGTGGATCTGTAAATAACACAAACTGTAAGTGAAACAGGTCACAGGACAATAGGAGCATTACAATCAAATGTCCAGCGTTTTGCAAAGATACTATGTAAGAAAGTGGATCTGACTGAGATGATAGAAGCAGGAAAAGCTCTAAACCCCACCCTCTGGCTTAAAGGCATGCAGAAACACACACGCAACACACTGGACAGGTAAGAGCAGTGACCCAACCCCATTCCTGCAAACAAGACATACTCTAAATACTACAAAACTAACATACTGCAGTTCTTTTCCTGGTCCCGATTGTTGTTATTACACTGCTATAGATGGAAAAGTCCCCAGTGACAGATACTGTTCTAACCTGTCCAAAAAGAAAACGCACCATTTTTTTTACCCGAAATACAAGTATTCATGTGTAATTTCAGACACAATACAAAGGTGCATTTGTGGCCGAAATCCGAATTGCAAGATTGATATAATACAACAAAATATGCAGATATTGACCCTGTTTGAGGTTCTGCAAAGGTTACTGGTTCTTTGACGCCATCTGAGCCAAAGAGAGCGCGTTTTATTGCCGTAAATACAGTCAGTTTAATCCAGTTGTGGTGGAGTTTACAAAATAAAAGTGGCGTTTTTTTCAGCTGTATCTGTCTATTTGATGTGATAAGCTAGCCATTCCTAGCGTTAGCATGTGTAATTACCATTGCATTCATGCGGAGAGGTCGATCTTCGCTGCGTTTCGAGTCCAAAGTAAATCAATCTTGCTTTTGTTGGATGATTCTTGAGTGGTTTCTGGTTCATGTGGAGTTGTGCATGGATAAAACCCGCGCAGGAGGAGTGTGTGCGTCCTTTATGGTCTGAAGGCATCCTCCAAACATCATCTCAGCGATCAGCGGTGTTGCCTCCCCGTGTCGGCAGGGGGCGACAGCGAGACAGCCAGCTCATCAAAACACAACACCAGGTTGCCAGATCCAAGAGGGTTATAAAGCAGTGCTAATAACAAGGCATAGACTTAAGATGTATATGGACAATGCTAACGGCGGATATTGTATTATTCCATCTGAAAGGTCTAAATACGTTTTATCAGTGAAAGTGCACGGGTTGGAATTGTGAGGAATGTTAGTTACAGAAGTAGTGTCTAGTTTGAATCCTTGCAATGTTTTTTTTTTTTATTATAATTTTTTGTTTTTTACTAACTTTAGCTTGTCAGCATCAGAGCCCATGATTAGCATCAGAGGCTATGGTTAGCATTGGAGTCCATCGTTAGCATCAGCAGCTATGGTTAGCATCAGTGGCTGTGGTTAGCGGCTATGGTTAGCATTGGAGTCCATCGTTAGCATCAGCGGCTGTGGTTAGCATCCGCGGCTATGGTTAGCATTGGAGTCCATCGTTAGCATCAGCAGCTATGGTTAGCATCAGCGGCTATGGTTAGCATTGGAGTCCATCGTTAGCATCAGCGGCTGTGGTTAGCATCCGCGGCTATGGTTAGCATTGGAGTCCATCGTTAGCATCAGCAGCTATGGTTAGCATCAGCGGCTATGGTTAGCATTGGAGTCCATCGTTAGCATCCGCGGCTATGGTTAGCATCAGCGGCTATGGTTAGCATTGGAGTCCATCGTTAGCATCCGCGGCTATGGTTAGCATCGGCGGCTGTGGTTTGCATCGGCAGATCTGGCACCCGCGCCACAGCTGAGCAGAGACAGACTCACTCATGTCCGTGGCTCAGCGCCGCGTCCACGCCACTGTCCCCGTTATTTCAACCGTTATTCCACATTTCCATCATTATGGCCGAGCCCTTCGAGCTCAAAATCTCACTTGAGTTTTCTTTAAATCAGATTTTTAAGGCGACTGTGGGAGACATCATGGAGTCAGTGAACAGGACGCTGAGCGAGTACCAGGGGAAAATGCAGAAGATCGAGACCGAAAACGAAGGCCTGAAGCGGCTCCTGAGGGCCCAGAGCTGTGCTGAACCCACTGCTGCAGGACCAGGTACAGGACTGTTCTAACAGCATTAATAAGCTCCTAAACAGAGGATCCAAACCCATGTGTTATGTGCATGTTTCTCATAATGGCGACCACCAGTGTCTTGTTAAGGCCGTAAACTCCAGAGGAATTACTGCACCTAAAGACTGGTAATAACCACGTTAGTACCATACTCCTCTGCTCAGACATGCAGTCATCATCAAAAACATGTACTTCAAGTCAATGTATTTTCGTAAAGCAGGAGTTTACAAACAGATCAGAGCTCCACAGGAGATATAATAATAGAAAACACTTTGGAGCCATTGGTCCATAGAGAGACGACTGAGGCTGTAGACCCAGGACTGAGGCTGTAGACCCAGGACTGAGGCTGTAGACTCAGGACTGAGGCTGTAGACCCAGGACTGAGGCTGTAGACCCAGGACTGAGGCTGTAGACTCAGGACTGAGGCTGTAGACTCAGGACTGAGGCTGTAGACCCAGGACTGAGGCTGTAGACCCAGGACTGAGGCTGTAGACCCAGGACTGAGGCTGTCGACCCAGGACTGAGGCTGTCGACCCAGGACTGAGGCTGTCGACCCAGGACTGAGGCTGTAGACCCAGGACTGAGGCTTTGCAGTACAGGACTGTAGTGGCTCCTGGACAAGGATGGGGGTGCAGCCCACAAGTCTGGGTCTGAGGCGTCCAGTTCACAGGTGCAAATAAAAGAGGGCAGTGGGTGAATAACAATGAACAGACTACAGCTGAAGTCATAACGTAATGATGACAGATAACGGAGAAGAGGAGAGTATAGTGATTACATTATTCTGTCCAGCTAAAATAACACCTTTTTATAATGTTACAGCAAATTCTCATCTATAACTTATGATGGTGATTAAAGCTGGAGTCCTTAAAAACATCTGTGTGTTTCAGTTTTCATGGATGCCATCGACGACAAGACAAAGGAAGGAGTTCTTGAACGCAGCGTGGAGCCGGACAGCGTCTCTGGACAGTCCTCCTTCAGAATGTCCATCTGCAGCAGCGACAAGAAGAGCAGACGAAAGCAAAAGGCCACGAAGAGACAGTTGCTGCTGTTCAGTTCCCCTCAAACTAACAACGTGTCAGAGGGTCAGAGCCCGCCACGATCCAAACCTTCGCACCAGACAGAGAATCTCAACGTAAAATCTGCTCAATGTGGACCAATCAATCTCTCTTACTCCATGAGACCTATCAAAACAGAAAGTATAGATGTTGGCTACACGCACACGGAGACATTCACACAACCTCAGACCCCACACATGAAAGAGGAGGGCGCTGAGGCTGGATTTAACAACACTTTTGACTCAACTTCTCAAACTTGTTCTCACTTTACAAGCAACGACTCGACGTTGAAGCCAGAAACGGACTTACACGGTGACGATTTCCAGGACGAGCCGGACGACTTTGACCCCGAGCAAGATCCGGGGAGTGATGAGTTCATGCCGCTGGAAGACGAGCCCGAGGACGAAGGCGACCCGCAAAACTTTCTAGACTGGCGTGACAACTTTCTGCGTTGTCCGGTCTGTCCAGAAACTTTCAACCGCGCGAAACTACTCAACGCTCACCTGAAGATGCACAAAGGAGAGAAGATCTACGGCTGCTCCTTCTGCGGGAAGCGCTTTAGCCGCGCCGAGGTCCTGAAAGCCCACAAACGGACGCACACGGGGGAGAGGCCGTACTGCTGTAACCTCTGCAGCAAGACGTACGCACACCCGAGCCAGCTGAGGGTGCACAAGCGTCTGCACACCGGAGAGAAGCCCTACATCTGCTCCTTCTGCGAGAGGGGCTTCGCGGAGCACAACCAGCTGAAGGTGCACCTGCGGACTCACACCGGGGAGCGGCCGTACAGCTGCAAGGACTGCGGCAAGACCTTCAGCAACGCCGGAAACCTGCGCATCCACGAGAGGATCCACACCGGGGAGAAGCCCTACTGCTGCGCCCAGTGTGGGAAACGCTTCAACGGCCTGGGGGACCTGAAGACGCACTACAGGATCCACACCGGGGAGAGGCCCTACAGCTGCGAGCTCTGCAAGAAGACCTTCAGCCAGACCGGACACCTCACCATACACATGCGGATGCACACCGGCGAGCGCCCGTACAGCTGCGACGACTGCGGCAAGACGTTCACCGTGGCCAGTAGCCTGAAGCTGCACATGCGGACTCACACAGGGGAAAAGGAGTTCTCGTGTTCCTACTGCAGCAAGAGGTTCAGCAGATCGGGACACCTCAAGAGACACGAGCTGGTCCACACCAAGGACAGACTCTACCTCTGCAGCCACTGCGGCAAGACCTACACCGACCAGTCCTCGCTGAAGAAGCACCAGAAAGTGCACCAAGGAGAGGAAGGAGAGGAACCAGGGACCAGCTCTGGGACCAGCTCTGGGACCGAGCCAAACAGGGCTTCACCGGAGCCAAACAGGGCTTCACCGGAGCCAAACAGGGCTTCACCGGAGCCAAACAGGGCTTCACCGGAGCCAAACAGGGCTTCACCGGAGCCAAACAGGGCTTCACCGGAGCCAAACAGGGCTTCACCGGAGCCAAACAGGGCTTCACCAGACTGAAGTATTACTGAGGAACTGTAAATGCTTGTTATAGGCGTCTTGTTTATGAGCTCTGTCTCAGACGTTTGCTGTTCTGATGTGATTTGAAAAGATTTGAGAAGTTATAAGTTGATTATTACTGGTAATTTAAGAGTGTCCTTACATTTACCATTAGCCCCGTCTCCACCAGCCCTACTTAACTCTACTCCACTCTACTCGGCTCTTCTCTACGCTACTCTGCTTTACTGTACCCTACTCTACTCTCTACTCTAACCTACTCTACTTTACTCTATACCACCCCAATTGGGAGCATTTCCACTGGCCCTGTTTAACGGGGACCAGATACCTTTGTAGTACCTGCTTGACCCTGGTTCTAACCAGGCTGAGCTGGTACTTAAGTTCTAACTCTTGCTGCTGCTGAAAACCAAGGAAGTTCCCTCAATACTGGTTTGTTGTGGGTAGTTTGTAAAGCATAATGGAAACGCGAGTCGAGTAGGGTAGGGGAGAGTAGAGTAGGGTAGAGTAGGGTAGGGGAGATGGAAATGGGGCTATAGTTAGACTTTGTGACTTGTTGAAGGACCTATATCTGACTTTAATGATTGTATTTCTTTAAACCAAAACAGAGGATTGTACAGTGCGTCATGTAGAATCAGTTTGTTTTTACAGCGCTTCACTGTAGATCTGACTCATTAACGTTACGGAGTATGGTCCTAAATGTTTAAGGAGGAACTAAAACAGCATCGACGGAAACTGAGGTCTGTGATTCACTGATGACTCTAACATCTGTGCTCAATATTCTGTCACGTTAACTGGAACTATGGAAGTACTGAACCTGCTGGACTATTGGCCTTACCTGTAAATAAGCCTACATTTGAAAAGAAAGGACATTTTATTCACATTTAGGCCCACTCGATGATAAGACACAGGTTTCCATGTTGTAATAATGACAACTGTTTTAAGCCTTTGGTGTAGATTGACTTTTATGCAACACGAGTTTCACTGTTTTCTGGTTGATTTTTCTGAAAACAAAATTTATTTATTGTTTAGATTTAACCCAAAACTGGTTTGCTTTATATTTAACTATCTAACTAATGATTTTGATTTGCTGGGTTAAAACCATAGAATAAATTACATTTGTTGTTTTCCTGACAAAATATATGATGTATAATGTGTTATAATGCCATGGCAGCCCATTATCATCAGTGCTGCATTTTAGGGGCCACTAAAAATGGGTCGTACGGGCTGGATTTGGCCCACGAGCCTGAGTTTGACATGTCTGCCTTATGTGAATAGGGCTGTCTCCACATCCTGCACTCCAGGGGGCGCTCTAACAGAACACACATCACTCTACGGGCCCAGGTCTCAGGTTCAGCAGGTTCTGTAGCTTTTATAGAAGTATTTATGAACTCGATGCTGTGCTGCTTTACAAAAGTTGAATAAATTCTCTGTCATCACCAAACGCTGCTCTTTTTCAGATTTAATGTTTAATTTATTGTTTTGTGAAATGTTTGAGTCGCTCCTGTCTCTGAACTGTGCGATACAAAAACATCTTTAGTCTCCATCATCTCATTACAAACAGTAACGAATGCAAACAGACTTCAGTCCTTTAAACTTTATTCATGAAATGCAGAAAGTCACAAACATGAAAAATCTCTATTTTCCAAACGCTGAAGAGAGAAACCCCCTCAGAGGATTTAAAGTGCTGCAGTGATTCTTCTCCGTGTTCTACTAAAGCAGAGGTCTCCAACCTTTTTCAATCGGAGAGCTACTTTTATACAATAAAAGAACCAGAGTAATGACAATCTATGTAATAAAAACGACAAAACGTAGAGAACACGTGAAAAATATACCATAATCCTAACAATTTCTACTTTGTTATACTATATGAAATAGATATGTAATGAGTCAAAGTCTAAATCCTTTCGAGAGCTACCTGAAATGGGCCAGCGAGCTACTGTTAGCTCCCGAGTTACAGGTTGGAGACCCCTAAACTAAAGTGTGACCGACTTCTCTGCTTCACATTCTGTAACAGTAAAACCTTTAAACTCTACATAAATAATAATAAATGCTGTTTTTAGCTGTGTGCCGTGTGAGTGCGGCTGCAGCAGTGCGGGGACAGGCCTTTGGAGAGGTAGAGCATGGGCTGGATGCTGCTGCTGAAGTCCATCAGCCCGAACGCCACGTAGTGGATGTAACAGCGAAAAACATCCGACGAAAAGTATTCTCTGAAGGGAAACAGCGCCACGGGAGGGAAGTAGTTAAACACAATGATCGCCAGGATGATCAGCACCATTTTGAAAGCCCTCTTCTTCACCGGGTGCATCTCGTCTCGGCCCGGTCCGGACTGACGCAGGGCCCACAAGATGGCGATATTGCAGAAGACCATGAACCCGAAGGCCGCCAGGATCATCCACGTGAACACCTTGTCGAAGTTGGCGATGTTCCCGACGCACTTGGCCGCGGCGTAGGCCAGGATCACTACCCAGACCAGCAAGGCCAGAACGGCCCGGTGCTTACGGTCCTTGAGCTCGGTGAAGGTCAGAGGGTGCACCACGGCCATGTACCTGTCCAGGCAAATGCAGGACAGGAAGAGCGGCGAGGAGTCCTTCATGCCGTAGAAGAAGCGAAGGACGTACCAGGTGCTGCTGGTCGTGATGAAGACGATGTTGGCCAGTTCGAGCGGCGGGATGAGGCAGAAGAAGACGTCCAGGATGGCAAGGTGGAGGATGAAGATGTCGGAGGTGGAGGAGTCGCCTTTGTTGCGGCGGATGAGCCACAGCACGGTGATGTTGGCCGGGATCCCCAGGAACATGTTGATGAACTGCAGGGTCAGGTACCAGATGAGGACGGCGGGCATCTGCACGCACACCTGGTACACGGTCTTCTCCAGCTCCGTGGTGTTGCCAGGTCTGTGCGAGATGAAGAGCGTGGAGTTTATGTAGAACAGCTCCATCGCTTCACTCTGCGGACGGAGAACGCACAGCGAGGGTCAGGATTTATGCTGAGTCTCACAGAAAGACATTTTACTAAACAAGATAAGATAGAGTTTGTTGATCTCACATTTGGCACAGAGTCACTCATATTGTGCAAAAGACTGAAGTGTGAAACATGGGTTAAACATATAGTGCATGCAGGATAATTATGTACAATAAAAAGTGGCCATTAAGAAAGAGTGGCAAAAGCAGCAGTTTGTTCAGTCCTAGTGAGAAGACGTTTAAGTGTTGGGCAGAAGCGTTGGATGAGATACCAAAACTATCAATCACTCTCAGTCGCTATCAACATTTTTAGTTTTCATTTACTTAAGTTGTGAATCATACATATTTTAATATTCAGATTATGAATATATAATCAAGGGGGAGCTACATGAAAGGGGGTGGTGAGCTAGTGGTAGCTCCCGAGCCACAGGTTGGAGACCCCAGATAAAGATGGACAATGCTAATCCAATAGGTAAGGGCTCATGGAATCGGGCTGGTTCCAATAAACTCCTCTAGGTAACCTAGGTAACCGTTTGACAGACCCACCATATTACACTTAAAATATCTGTGCTCTCTATAACCCCATTTCTACCCTACCCTACCCTACCCTACTCTACTCTACTCTACTCTACTCTACGCTCCCCTGATTGGAGTGTTTGCTCTGGTCCTGTGTAACTAGTGCCAGGTCCTTCTTTTGTCCCTCTTGGTCCTGGATCTGTCCAGGCCGAGCTGGTACTGAAGTGTTCTAACTGACAGTGATTGACCAGAGTGCTGCTGGATGCCATGGTAACCAAAGATGGATACTGGTTTGTTGTGGGCAGGTTGCGAGGATACGGTACCACCAAACTCCAGATTGCCTTAGCAACCGCCTTAGCAACACGCGTCATAAACAAATGCCCAAATTAGGAAATTGGCTCCAGCTAGCTTTTGTTCAAACCTTCTTTATTCCGCATTATGGCTAACACTGTGGTGATGTCACACTCTGTCCTTCCACTCCTAACACACGGCCGATGGTACAAATACATCAATAATCTCTCTCTGATGTAATCATCTTTTGAGGGTGAGATCTCCCGGTCACGGCCACAGCTTTGATGCAGACATAGATCTCTCTGATCAGATTTCTGCCCCAGTCGTCTGTGTTTGATTGACAGAAGCAATAACATGTTACAAGACATCAGCACATGCTCTGGCTCTGCACCTGCGCAACCACCGTCGCCACCATCCACCGCCACCAACCACCGCCACCAACCACCGCCACCAACCAACGCCACCATCCACCGCCACCAACCACCGCCACCAACCAACCACCACCACCATCCACCGCCACCAACCACCAACCACCACCACCAACCACCGCCACCAACCACCACCACCAGCCACCGCCACCAACCACCGCCACCAACCACCGCCACCGGCCACCGCCACTAACAACCGCCACCAACCACAGCCACCAACCACCGCCAACTTCCACCGCCACCAGCCACCAACCACCACCACCTTCCACCGCCACCAACCACCAACCACCTTCCACCGCCACCTTCCACCGCCACCAACCACCGCCACCGACCACCGCCACTATCCACCAACCACCGCCACCTTCCACCGCCACCAACCACCGCCACCAGCCACCGCCACCAGCCACCGCCACCAGCCACCGCCACACCATCCACCGCCACCAACCACCGCCACCAGCCACCAGCCACCGCCACCAGCCACCGCCACCATCCACCGCCACCAGCCGCCGCCACCATCCACCGCCACCAGCCACCGCCACCATCCACCGCCACCAACCACCGCCACCATCCACCGCCACCATCCACCGCCACCTTCCACCGCCGCCACCGCCACCAGCCACCGCCACCAGCCACCGCCACCAGCCACCAACCACTATCCACCAACATCCACCGCCACCAACCACCACCACTAACCACTGCCACCAACCACCGCCATCAACCACCACCACCAACCACCGCCACCAACCACTGCCACCGCCACCAACCACAGCCACCAACCACCGCCACCTTCCACCGCCACCAGCCACCGACCACCGCCACCAGCCACCAACCACCGCCACTAACCACCGCCACCAGCCACCGCCACCAGCCACCAACCACCGCCACCAGCCACCGCCACCAACCACCAGCCACCGCCACCGACCACCGCCACCAGCCACCGCCACCATCCACCGCCACCATCCACCGCCACCAGCCACCGCCACCATCCACCGCCACTAACCACCGCCACCAACCACAGCTACCAACCACCACCACCATCCACCGCCACCAACCACAGCCAGCAACCACCACCACCATCCACCGCCACCAACCACCGCCACCATCCACCGCCACCAACCACCGCCACCAACCACCAGCCACCAACCACCGCCACCAACCACCACCACCAGCCACCGCCACCAACCACCGCCACTAGCCACCGCCACTAACCACCGCCACTAACCACCGCCACTAACCACCGCCACTAACCACCGCCACCAACCACCGCCACCTTCCACTGCCACCAACCACCACCACCTTCCACCGCCACCAACCACCACCACCTTCCACCAGCCACCAACCACCGCCACCAACCACCAGCCACCAACCACCGCCACCAACCACCACCACCTTCCACCAGCCACCAACCACCGCCACCAACCACCACCAACTACCGCCACCAACCACCGACCACTATCGACCACCACCAACATCCACCGCCACCAACCACCACCAACATCCACCGCCACCAACCACCACCACTAACCTCTGCCACCAACCACCGCCACCAACCACCGCCACCTTCCACCGCCACCAACCACCGCCACCAGCCACCAACCACCGCCACCTTCCACCGCCACCAGCCACCGCCACCATCCACCAGCCACCAGCCACCGCCACCAGCCACCGCCACCATCCACCGCCACCAGCCACCATCCACCGCCACCAACCACCGCCACTAACCACCGCCACCAACCACAGCCACCAACCACCACCACCATCCACCGCCACCAACCACCACCACCATCCACCGCCACCAACCACCGCCACCAACCACAGCCACCAACCACAGCCACCAACCACCACCGCCACCCACCACCACCATCCACCGCCACCAACCACCGCCACCAACCACCACCACCATCCACCGCCACCAACCACCGCCACCAACCACCACCACCAGCCACCGCCACCAACCACCAACCACCGCCACTAACCACCGCCACTAACCACCGCCACTAACCACCAGCCACCAACCACCACCACCTTCCACCAGCCACCAACCACCGCCACCTTCCACTGCCACCAACCACCACCACCTTCCACCAGCCACCAACCACCACCACCTTCCACCAGCCACCAACCACCGCCACCAACCACCAGCCACCAACCACCGCCACCAACCACCACCACCTTCCACCAGCCACCAACCACCACCATCAACCACCAGCCACCAACCACCGCCACCAACCACCACCACCAGCCACCGCCACCAACCACCGCCACCGGCCACCGCCACTAACCACCGCCACTAACCACCGCCACTAACCACCAACCACCGCCACCATCCACCAACCACCGCCACCGGCCACCGCCACTAACCACCGCCACTAACCACCATCCACCGCCACCAACCACCGCCACCGGCCACCGCCACTAACCACCGCCACTAACCACCACCACCAACCACCGCCACCAACCACCGCCACTAACCACCGCCACCAACCACAGCCACCAACCACCATCCACCGCCACCAACCACCGCCACCTTCCACCGCCACCAACCACCGCCACCATCCACCGCCACCGGCCACCAACCACCGCCACCAACCACCGCCACCTTCCACCGCCACCAACCACCGCCACCATCCACCGCCACCATCCACCGCCACCATCCACCGCCACCATCCACCGCCACCAACCACCGCCACCATCCACCGCCACAGCCTGTCAGGAACCCCATTTCCAACAGCCCTGCTCTACTCTGCTCTACTCTACTCTACTCTGCTCTGCTCTACTCTACTCTACTCTACTCTACTCTACTCTACTCTACTCTACTCTACTCTACTCTACTCTACTCTACTCTACTCTAGTATAGTTCATATTCAAAAATTATTATAATCTAAAGGGCAGCCATGTGTCACTGGATCCGAGGAAATGATAAACTTTGCATTCACTGAAACAGAACTGAGAGGAGCTTTTGCATAATGGTGTGGCCACATGGTGCTTAATGGTGTGGCCACATTTATTTGAATATCGCAGTTCCTACATTAGGCCAATCAAAGTGATTAACAAAACATGGTTGAAACAAAATCCCTGTTTCCACCAGACCTACTCTACTCTACTCTACTCTACTCTCCCCCAATTGGGAATACCAGGTCCTTCTTTAGTCCCTCTTGGTCCTGGTTCTATCCAGGCCGAGCTGGTACTAAAGTGTTCTAACTGACAGCGATTGGCCAAAAGTGCTTCTGGAAGCCATGGTTACCAGGGAATTTCCCCAGATACTGGTTTTGACGTGGGGAGGTGGCTTGGATGAGGAACCAGATACTAAAGCGTAATGTAAACACAATCAGGTAGAGTAGAGTAGAGTAGAGTAGGACCAAGTTGGGCTAATGCACAGGCAATATTTGATTCTCTAATCTGCTGTTGGAAAACCGACTTTGTAAATGTATTGTTGTGTAAAATTGTTTTGTACTACTTTGGTTTTGCTAATTGCCAAAAATAAATGCGTCTATTTTTCCCATCATCTTTCCTAAACTTAAATAATCTTTTCTGTGGTTTCATTCACAATCACCACAGTCCACTCTGGCCTTTAATCCACCTGTTGCTATAAACTACATCATAAACCTTAAATCACATTAGATAAGGGGACATTTCAGTGTTGCACCGCACATACAGGACAGCAGTAAGAACACTCCAGGAGAGCTACTGCGTCGGGACAGAAGTGGCAGAGAGCTACTCCTTTTAGACAGTGGACATAGTAAGTAATGTTTATTTATATCGCGCCTTTCACAGACCAGAGTCACTGAGCTCTTTACAGTTGGGGCCGTTTCTCTCCCACTCCCACAGAGAGTGGGAGTGGGAGGCACAGACCTACTGGACATGTTTTTAGTGGTCGGGGAAACCGGAGCACCCGGAGGAAACCTTGAGCCGATTCTGACTGAGCCTTAAAACAAATTTGCAGACGGAACAAAGCAAAATAATCTTGTTTCAAAAAATATACAAAAAATGTCTCCCTTGGAATGAGGAAAAACAGAAACAGTTTTTGAACAAGACTAAATGGCTCTGTCCCATTGGCCAAAAACACTCTTATTACCTCATATTTTATCATTTTTTGGAGTGAAGACTGTCAAAAAGTTCTCTAATTACTTTAGGCAATTTGGATTATTTAAATTTTGCCATTTTTTGTTGTGTCCATCATAATTTACTGTATCAATGAAATAAGTGTGCTTTTTCCCTTTAAATTAATGATTCTTTTAGGAGCTAATAAAGAGGTAGCTTCTGATAGCTCCTGCGCTACAGGCTGTAAATGCTTTAGAATAGAAGCAGTAAGTATACAGGTGTATGGACATTTGCATAAAAAAAAGAATCTGCCTTTCACCGAGTGGTTTTGCATAAAGCCAAATCTATTTCAGACACAGTTTCAACCTTCCTTAAGCAAACTCTTTCAAATTCACTGCTGACAACAAAACATATAAAGATTGTAGCTAAAGGAATAAAAAAGTTTGACAAATTCTCAAAATGGAGATTTGATTTGAATGTGAATGAGTGATTTTTCTGAAAAAGCAGAATTTACTTTCCAAAAATGACCAAATATGAGGTAATAACAGCTTTTTACCCTAATCTGAGTTAATTCTGACTGTGTTAAAACCAGATTCTCCAACGGCACAAAGACATTTATTCTTATTTCTTGTATCTTTTTAAAACACAATCATTTTGCTCTTTGTCCCGTCTGAAAATCTTGTTTTAATGAATTCAGAATCTGCTCAAATTAAAACACATTTGGCCAAATTTAAGACATTTTTGACTAATTTTCCTTCACTTTTTGCAGTGCAGACTCAGCAGTGGTCCTTGTACAGTCTGACAGCAGCGTATAGAGCCACAGCATAGGGATCATGAACACATGTTATCAAAGGTACAGAGTGAGTTCACATGTTATCAAAGGTACAGAGTGAGTTCACATGTTATCAAAGGTACAGAGTGTGTTCACATGTTATCAAAGGTACAGAGTGAGGTCTTACTTGTGGGTCGTCTGCGCAGAGAGAGTGTGTCCAGCTCCAGAGAAGCTCATAAATGAACGGAAATGTCTTTTGGAAGATGACGCCTGAGGCAGCTCCAACCTCGTCCAATCAGATTCCAGACGAGCGCTCCCTCTGGCAAGACTGGGTTAGACTGTGTTAGACTGGGTTAGACTGGGTTAGACTGGGTTAGACTGGGATAGACTGTGTTAGACTGGGTTAGACTGGATTAGACTGTGTTAAACTGGGTTAGACTGGGTTAGACTGGGTTGGACTGGGTTAGACTGGGTTAGACTGTGTTAGACTGCTTTAGACTGCTTTAGACTGTGTTAGACTGGGTTAGACTGGGTTAGACTGGTTTATTTGTAGCACAGATTATACACAAGGCGACTCAAAGTGCAGAACTAAACAAGGTAAACTAAACAGGCTTTAAAATCATAAATAGTCTCTGAGCGTTTCAAGAGTCAAGATAAAACCCTTCAGAAAACAGTTTTTAACCTGGATTCAAACATTGTCAGAGAAGAGGCCTGTCTCACATTTTCAGGAAGACTGTTCCAGAATTTAGCATGAATCTGAAACGCTGCCTCCCCATGTTTAGTCGTGACTCTGGGACCAGCAGGAGACCAGTCCCTGTGCTCCTCAGAGTCCCAGCAGGAGGCCAGTCCCTGTGCCCCTCAGAGTCCCAGCAGGAGACCAGTCCCTGTGCTCCTCAGAGTCCCAGCAGGAGTCCAGTCCCTGTGCTCCTCAGAGTTGGTTTGTTAAAGTAGATGTTGTACCTTTACCCCAGTTTCACAAAAACACACATCTTTTGTGTTGTGCAGAAACAGCCGGAGCGGAGTCTTGTGTGATCGACAATGATGCAACAAACCTTTGGCGCCTGATGGAAAATTGGCAGTAAACAACTGATGCAAGACAACTCGGTGTAAGAGGCTGTAACGTGTTACATGTTCAGTCTGTGGAAAATACTTAAACTTCATCAAACAATAACAGACTGTTTTTCCACATAATGAAGCTCCGCCCACAAAGAACCATCTGATCTTTACAGCTTTAGACGTTATACATGAAAAATATACAACACCTATATAATAGAACACCTGTACAATACAGACGCCTGTATAGAAACCACAGCTGCTGCAGGTCAAGAGAAAGTCCATATTCAGCTAAAACTTTAGGGGAGAAAAAAGAGCACTCAGTTTTATCACAAATCCAGATCTATTATTTTGGTCGGAACAGGGCCTTTCTGAGTGGAGTTTGCATGTTCTCCCTGTCTGCGTAGGTTTCCTCCGGGTGCTCTGGTTTCCGCTAGCACTAAAACTATGTGCAATAGGTAAAATCCTCCAGCTCCGGTCCTGACCAATCCGAACATCAACTCCTGGAGATAAGTCCCAGACGCTGTTACCACGGCAACCAATGCTGCTAACCCAAGCCTGGCATCGGGATCAGGGTCAAATGCAGAGGATGGATTTCTCTACAGGTGGATGGAGAGGTCCTTCCTCAAGTGGAGGAGTTCAAGTATCTCGGGGTCTTGTTCACGAGTGAGGGAAGGATGGAGCGTGAGATTGACAGGCGGATCGGTGCAGCGTGCGCAGTGATGCGGTCGCTGTATCAGACCGTTGTGGTAAAGAGGGAGCAGCGTCTGCAGTCAGAGCTGTATTGGACCGTTGTGGTAAAGAGGGAGCAGCGTCTGCAGTCAGAGCTGTATCGGACCGTTGTGGTAAAGAGGGAGCAGCGTCTGCAGTCAGAGCTGTATTGGACCGTTGTGGTAAAGAGGGAGCAGCGTCTGCAGTCAGAGCTGTATCGGACCGTTGTGGTAAAGAGGGAGCAGCGTCTGCAGTCAGAGCTGTATTGGACCGTTGTGGTAAAGAGGAAGCAGCGTCTGCAGTCAGAGCTGTATCGGACTGTTGTGGTAAAGAGGGAGCAGCGTCTGCAGTCAGAGCTGTATCGGACCGTTGTGGTAAAGAGGGAGCTGAGGCAAAGCTCTCGATTTACCGGTCAATCTTCGTTCCCTCCCTCACCTATGGTCATGAGCTTTGGGTAATGACCGAAAGAACGAGATCGCGGATACAAGTGGTTGAAATGAGCTTCCTCCGCAGAGTGGCTGGGCGCTCCCTTAGAGATAGGGTGAGGAGCTCAGTCACACGGGAGGAGCTCGGAGTAGAGCCGCTGCTTCTCCACGTCGAGAGGAACCAGTTGAGGTGGCTCGGGCATCTGTTCCGGATGCCTCCTGGACGCCTCCCTGGGGAGGTGTTCCGGGCACGTCCCACCGGGAGGAGGCCCCGGGGAAGACCTAGGACACGCTGGAGGGACTATGTCTCCCAACTGGCCTGGGAACGCATTGGGGTCGGACGAGCTGGAGGAAGTGTGTGGATAGGGAAGTCTGGGCGTCTCTGCTTAGACTGCTGCCCCCGCGACCTGGCAACGGATAAAGCGGAAGAAAATGGATGGATGGATGGATGAATTTTTCTACGGAGACAATAAAGTGACATTTACATTTCCATAATAAACTCTCTGTATTTGCACTTGGCTCAGACACACTGTGAAAGCTCCACATTTACAGGCGATAATGTTCTTCAGCAGCAGAGAATATGAGCAGAATTATCAGTACAGACGACACATTTACAGACTCAGCAGTTCTCATTGTACAGTCTGACAGCAGCTGAAAGGAAGGACCTGCGGAAGTGTGGATCAGTCTGTCCCTGAAGCTGCTCTTTAGTTCAGAGAGAGGGAGCGACAGTCATGGTCCAGATGTTAAATTGTCCTGTCTCTTGTGTCTGGGCTGTCCGAATGAACTGTGCTATACAGATAAACTTGCCTCTGCTCATGACACACATTTTTAACCAGGCGCTGTGCTGTCCGTCTGTTTGAACAGCTTTATGCCTCCGACTCTTCACTGGATTATCTCTGGGTTTGTTTGTCAGGTCATTATAACTGTCCTAGGACTCTAAATTAAAAACAAACAAAAAAAATCTGAATAATTTTTAATGCCAGTGTAAGTAACAGGAAGTCACACTGTTACTATAGCAACAAGTGCTGTTTCTTATAATGAAAAGTGCTTTTAAAAATTAACCTATATTTGAAACATCATAGAAATACATTTACTTTACTCCAACAAGAGCAGACTTTCTGTGACTCCTGTGACACCTGTGACACCTGTGACTGCTGTGACACCTGCGACTCCTGTGACTCCTGTGACTGCTGTGACTCCTGTGACTCCTGTGACTCCTGTGACTCCTGTGACACCTGTGACTCCTGTGACACCTGTGACTCCTGTGACACCTGTGATACCTGTGACTCCTGTGACACCTGTGACACCTGTGACTCCTGTGACTCCTGTGACTCATGTGACACCTGTGACTCCTGTGACTCCTGTGACACCTGTGACACCTGTGACTCCTGTGACACCTGTGACTCCTGTGACTCCTGTGACTCCTGTGACACCTGTGACTCCTGTGACACCTGTGACACCTGTGACTCCTGTGACACCTGTGACTCCTGTGACTCCTGTGACACCTGTGACTCCTGTGACTCCTGTGACTCCTGTGACACCTGTGACTCCTGTGACTCCTGTGACTCCTGTGATACCTGTGATTCCTGTGACTCCTGTGACTCCTGTGACACCTGTGACACCTGTGACTCCTGTGACTCCTGTGACTCCTGTGACACCTGTGACTCCTGTGACTCCTGTGACTCCTGTGACACCTGTGACTCCTGTGACACCTGTGACTCCTGTGACACCTGTGATACCTGTGACTCCTGTGACACCTGTGACACCTGTGACTCCTGTGACTCCTGTGACTCATGTGACACCTGTGACTCCTGTGACTCCTGTGACACCTGTGACACCTGTGACTCCTGTGACACCTGTGACTCCTGTGACTCCTGTGACTCCTGTGACTCCTGTGACACCTGTGACTCCTGTGACACCTGTGACTCCTGTGACACCTGTGACTCCTGTGACTCCTGTGACACCTGTGACTCCTGTGACTCCTGCGACTCCTGTGACTCCTGCGACTCCTGTGACGCCTGTGAGCAGAAACACTTATGTATTCTACTCCGGTACTTTTTTTAAACCTTTTTTATTCTTTCCTTTTTTTTTTGTTATTGCCTGAAGCCCCCGCTGAAAGATCTCAGCACCGACAGGAGGATCAGTGAGGGGCGGGTGCTCTGACTGCCACCCCCGACCCAGACATGGATTAAGGGGAAGAATATGGATGGATTATTTTTTTCTTTTATTGACTCTCTTGGTTTCCACTCTGGGGACATTAGGGATCTACTTACAAACGTTGAGGTGACTTATGAAAATTGGCCGGATACTGAAAGCCCTTTAAAGGACAAATGGAAGTGCGAAGATGGAACTGTATCCGTCAAAATGGTTTTATTATTTACATATAAAATATAAACAAAAACTGTATTAATAATGAACAAAAAGTGCTCATACAAATAATATCTATTTTTGCAGCTTTTGTGCCAAACATTCACTAACTGTAATTTGTCTCTGTTCTTTTCATCCAATCACTGAAAACTTAGTCAGAAATTACTCAAATTTGACAAATGTTCTTCCCTTGAGCACATTCTTGAGCCTGGAACACGATGTGTGTTTGGTGACAACAGACTGATGTATGTGGGGGTGGGGGGGTGGTCTCTCTGTCTGTGGACCTCTCTCTGACAACACCATGTGGCTGATATATGTGGGGGGGGAGGTCTCTCTGTCTGTGGACCTCTCTCTGACAACACCATGTGGCTGATATATATGGGGGGGGGTCTCTCTGTCTGTGGACCTCTCTCTGACAACACCATGTGGCTGATATATGTGGGGGGGGGGGGTCTCTGTCTGTGGACCTCTCTCTGACAACTCCATGTGCATGTGGCTGATATATATGGGGGGGGGTCTCTGTCTGTGGACTTCTCTCTGACAAGACCATGTGTCTTGTGCCTATGGTATTTATTTGGTCCATGACTAACACATGATGTAACAAGAAGGTTTTTATGAAAACAGAGGAAAAGAATCACACAAACATTTGATATTGTTTATTCTAATAAAGACGGAAGAGATTTACATCGAGCAGCTTTAAACATACAATCAACAAGTCACCGAGACATCAGTGCTCCATACGCCCTGTTTCCACCAACTCTACCCTACTCTAGAAACTCTCTCATTTGGGGAGAGTAGAGTAGAGTAGGGTAGGGTAGGCTAGGGTAGAGTAGAGTAGAGTAGAGTAGAGTAGAGTAGGGTAGGGTAGGGTAGGGTAGAGTAGGGTAAGCTAGGGTAGAGTAGAGTAGGGTAGAGTAGGGTAAGGTAGGGTAAGGTAGAGTAGGGTTGGTGGAAACAGGGCTAAAATGCCTCGTGGGGTTTTCCTTCCTTCCGTTTTACACTCGTTCCTATTTGTGCTCAGTGATTATATTATTTATATACAACATGTTTTCAACAACTCACAGTTTTTATTCCTTCTGTGGGAATCTAACCCCAAACCACAAGTGTAAACAAACCACCAGAAGCGGCGTGACCCTGAAACACCAAAAACACCAAAACCCAAACACCTCCTGCTCCTGTTTCTGCTACATGCAAAACCTTCTTCTCTCTCCTACATCCTGAAGCTGTCCTGGTCCGACACACTACACCATCTGCCTCAGTCCTGGGTCTACAGCCTCAGTCCTGTGTCTACAGCCTCAGTCCTGGGTCTACGGCCTCAGTCCTGGGTCTACGGCCTCAGTCCTGGGTCTACGGCCTCAGTCCTGGGTCTACAGCCTCAGTCCTGGGTCTACGGCCTCAGTTCTGGGATCTGTCCTGGACTTACTGCAGCCCGACAAACACCACAAATCAAGTCATTCCAAAGAACAAAAATGTAACCCTAAATGTAAAGTCTGATTTCCTGGACTTAATAAAACCATATTTTCTGCATCAGACTCTGGGGTCGAGGTTCACTGTTTGTGCACACGGAGGAAATAACTTACAGCAAAATATAACATTGTGTAGAAAAGGAGAAGCTATCTCTACAGTTCAGGTATAAAAGCCTCAGAACCACAGGCTGTGACTCCGGCCCACATTCTGGAGAGGGCAAAGCCATTGCTCACTGGGCTTTAGTTCTGGAGAGTTCTGTTCAAAAGGGTCAGATGAAGGTAGAGTCCAGGCGGGTCCAGGTGGGTCCAGGTGGGTCAGATGAAGGTAGAGTCCAGGCGGGTCAGGTGAAGGTAGAGTCCAGGCGGGTCAGGTGAAGGTAGAGTCCAGGCGGGTCCAGGCGAAGGTAGAGTCCAGGCGGGTCAGGTGAGTCAGGTGAAGGTAGAGTCCAGGCGGGACAGATGATGGTAGCGTCTGGGCGGGTTCAGGCGGGTCAGATGAAGGTAGAGTCCAGGCGGGTCCAGGTGGGTCAGATGAAGGTAGAGTCTGGGCGGGTCCAGGTGGGTCAGATGAAGGTAGAGTCTGGGCGGGTCCAGGTGGGTCAGATGAAGGTAGAGTCCAGGTGGGTCCAGACGGGTCAGATGAAGGTAGAGTCCAGGGCGCTGGTGTCCTGGGACGTTCGAGCCCGAGCCTCGAACAGTTGTTTTATCAAAGCTGACTTCTCCTGCTCCAGCTGCGTGATGCGCTCGCTCTTCTCTGACACCTCCTGCAGAGAGAGAGAGAGAGAGTGTGAGTGAGATAGAGAGAGAGAGAGAGAGAGTGAGAGTGTGAGTGAGAGCGAGAGGCTGTGAGAGAGAGAGAGAGAATGTGAGTGAGATAGAGAGAGAGAGAGAGAGTGAGAGCGAGAGGCTGTGAGAGAGAGAGAGAGTGAGAGTGTGAGTGAGAGCGAGACTGTGAGAGTGTGAGTGAGAGCGAGACTGTGAGAGTGTGAGTGAGAGCGAGAGAGAGGCTGTGAGAGAGAGAGAGAGAGAGAGAGAGAGAGAGAGAGAGTGTGAGTGAGAGAGAGAGAGTGAGAGTGTGAGTGAGAGCGAGAGGCTGTGAGAGAGAGAGAGAGTGAGAGTGTGAGTGAGAGCGAGACTGTGAGAGTGTGAGTGAGAGCGAGACTGTGAGAGTATGAGTGAGAGCGAGAGAGAGGCTGTGAGAGAGAGAGAGAGAGTGTGAGTGAGAGCGAGACTGTGAGAGCGAGAGAGAGGCTGTGAGAGAGAGAGAGAGAGAGAGGGTATGTGTGTGTGAGAGGGAGAACGTTTGTGTGTGTGTGTGAGAGAGAGAGAGAGAGAGAGAGGGTATGTGTGTGTGAGAGGGAGAAAGTTTGTGTGTGTGAGAGAGAGGGAGAGAGAGAGAGAGAGAGAGAGGGAGGGGGAGAGGGGGCAGCTGGTGAGAGGTGTTTGTGTGTGTGTGAGAGAGAGAGAAGACATATGAGTGTGTGTGTGTGTGTGTGTGTGTGTGTGTGTGTGTGCAGGATGTGTGTGTGTCTCACTGTTGTGAATATGTGTGTTTATGACTTGTGTATAATGAGTATGTTCTGAGTTAGACTGAACAGCTGCTCTCTGCTCTCTCCAAACACTGCAGTGGATCTAAAACACTGCAGCTCTAGTCTTCACAAGAACCAGGATGTACCATCGCATCAGTCCTGGTCTCAGGTCTCTGCCCCTGTGGCTCCTGTGACTTTAAAGTAGCTCGGACAATGTGAGGCAGGCTTCTTCCCTAACTATATGCAAATCCAGGTTAAAAAGTTTCAAATAAGGCCGCACATTCCTGTAGTTTGAGCTAGCGTGCTGGATTTTAAAATACACTGATTGGGAGCTCCATAGCTGTGCGGATTTTTTTCACTGTTTTTACAAATCCAGGTTAAAAACAGATTTTTTTAGCTTTGCATAAAACTGAAGGATTGTATTTTTACTCTTTTAAATGTACTGGGACTATTGATGAGTTTCGCCTTGCTCAAGCATATAAAGCCTAGTGTATACTTGCGCGGCGTGGCTTACGTTAGCGGTTGCGGTGGACCTACGTAAGCACAATTGATGTTATACTGGCGCGTTCCCCTTACGGAGTTTTTAGGAGAATGTTGTAATCCCACAACAAACCACATGAGGGCGATCACACAGGAGCGGTCCCATTTACGCTGCTACTTTGTCCTCTTCAGAACAACAATAGCAAACAAAGCTGTTTGAGCTCATTACACGTGTTTCTACTGCAGGTTTATGTGATAGTTTTATGGATTCATTATTTTATAAGTCATTTCAACTGTGATGCTGTGAATAAAGACACAGTTCTTGTTGGAAACATAGTTATTATTAGTTTTATAGTTTTCAGCACAAACAGCAAAACAATAATAGTGGTAAATATCTGAGACAAACATGAACGATTTACGAGTGCAGGAGGAAAGCAACAAACGCAGCTACGATTCAAACAAGACAGGAACAGTTTATAAGTTATATATATGTTAGATATAAGTTATATATATGTTAGATATAAGTTATATATATGTTAGATATAAGTTATATATATGTTAGATATAAGTTATATATATGTTAGATATAAGTTATATATATGTTAGATATAAGTTATATATATGTTAGATATAAGTTATATATATGTTAGATATAAGTTATATATATGTTAGATATAAGTTATATATATGTTAGATATAAGTTATATATATGTTAGATATAAGTTATATATATGTTAGATATAAGTTATATATATGTTAGGTATAAGTTATATATATGTTAGATATAAGTTATATATATGTTAGATATAAGTTATATATATGTTATATCTAACATATATATAAGTTATATATATGTTAGATATAAGTTATATATATGTTAGATATAAGTTAACTATATGTTAGATATAAGTTATATATATGTTAGATATAAGTTATATATATGTTAGATATAAGTTATATATATGTTAGATATAAGTTATATATATGTTAGATATAAGTTATATATATGTTAGATATAAGTTATATATATGTTAGATATAAGTTATATATATGTTAGATATAAGTTATATATATATGTTAGATATAAGTTATATATATGTTAGATATAAGTTATATATATGTTAGATATAAGTCATATATATATGTTAGATATAAGTTATATATATATGTTAGATATAAGTTATATATATGTTAGATATAAGTTATATATATGTTAGATATAAGTTATATATATGTTAGATATAAGTTATATATATGTTAGATATAAGTTATATATATGTTATATCTAACATATATATAAGTTATATATATGTTAGATATAAGTTATATATATGTTAGATATAAGTTATATATATGTATGCTCCATAGTGCCTCGTCCATGCTCCTGCTGCAGCCGCTTCATGCTTCCTTCCAATACACACACACGGACCAATCACAGCGGAGCTTCCTTGCGGCGACCCTTACGTAGTTAGAAAATTTCGATGCTGCGCGGCAGGCGACGTAAGGGCCTAGCGGTGACCAACGCGTTGCGCAAGTGACATCACGTCACCTCCGTAAGCTCCGCGCCGCGCAAGTATAAACTAGGCTTAATAGTAGACCAAGAAGGAGCACATCAGCCCAGTCCTGAAGATCCGAGGGAATGGGTGGAGTCTGCTGTGCTCCTGCCTGGTTGGAATGAAAACCTTTGAGGAGCGAGTTGAAGACCCGAGCAGTGAGGTTTGTGCTGGAGGACCTGTGTGAGGAGTCTGTTCTGGTCCTTCAGTCTCTGGATGGCCTGTGGAGGAGCTGCAGGAGGAGCTGCAGGGGGGGGCTGAGAGCTGCTGGACACTGGAGAGGCAGGACTTCCACCAGGGGAGGTAGGCTGACGGTAAATAACATTAGGTTAGCATGACTGTAGTGCTAAACTTTTAAGACTCTTCAGCCTCAAAGCCTAGAAGGACTGTATATACTAGCTGGTCAATGCTAGCATAGACTGTGCATAGATGGATAATGCTAACATAGACAGCATTGTCCATCTATATACAGCCTGTGTTAGCTTTAGCATTTGTATACAGTCTGTGTTAGCATTAGCATCTGTATACAGCCTGTGTTAGCTTTAGCATCTGTATACAGTCTGTGTTAGCATTAGCATCTGTATACAGTCTGTGTTAGCATTAGCATCTGTATACAGTCTGTGTTAGCATTAGCATCTGTATATAGTCTGTGTTAGCATTAGCATCTATATACAGTCTGTGTCAGCATTAGAATCTGTATACAGTCTGTGTTAGCATTAGTATCTGTATACAGTCTGTGTTAGCATTAGCATCTGTATACAGTCTGTGTTAGCATTAGCATCTGTATACAGTCTGTGTTAGCATTAGCATCTGTATACAGTCTGTGTTAGCATTAGCTTCTGTATACAGTCTGTGTTAGCATTAGCACGTACCATTCCTGTGCAGGTAATGAGCTCACTCAGACATCTGTTGACTTCTCTGAGTTTGGGAATTAAAACGTTCATGCGGCTTTGTGTTGCTTCACTGCGGAAGTCCTGTAAAAATAGAGAAGAGTGAATGTAAACGATGATGGGATGTCCTGCGCTGGGCGTGTGTCCCGGGACTCACGGGACTCACGGGACTCACGGGACTCGCGGGGCCCTGTTGGTTCTGGCCAATCTGCCGCTGCCTCTCGTTCATGTGGTGGATCTGGGTCTGGTACCAGTCTCGGGCTCGTTCCACCACCTCCAGTCCCGACAGCAGAGAGTCCTTCTCCTGCTCCAGCTCCTTCATCTGCTTCAGCTGAGACACAGAACAATGCCAGTTTAATTATATAGCACAGTTCATACACAAGAACTCAAAGAAATAAAACAAGATAGAAACAAGATCACGCAGTGCATTGAACAAAACATATCACAGTACGGTTAAGAGAGTAAAACAGAACTGTTGTAAATAAAACATGTTACAGACCAAGGTACAGACCCAAAGCACTTTCCAATGTTCAGAGTCAGATATTGTTCCAATCCTTCCACACACTGTGATGACAGAGCATTCTTCTGCAAAGAACCATGGTCTTTCTCCGGCCTTTCTATCTAGTCTCTCTATCTTTCTGCTCTCTGGTCTCTCTCTATTTTCTATCTCTCGCTGCTCTCACTCTCTCTCACTCCCTCTCTCTATCTCTCTGTTCTCTCTCTCTGGTCTCTCTCTCTCTCTCTCAGTTCTTTTTGTGGTCCTGTAGACAATAGCCTGGTACCAACTCTCTCCCACCTCCAACATGTTTAGAGGATCCATCGCTGCGACGCCATGACAACCACCCAGGGCCCTATAAGAATGGGGAAGTGCGTGCGTGTGTGTGGGTGTGTGTGTGTGTTTGTCTCTGTATGTGTGTGTGTGTGTGTGTGTATGTATGTGTCTCTCTGTGTTTGTATGTGTGTGTCTCTGTGTGTGTGTGTGTGTGTGTGTATGTATGTGTCTCTCTGTGTTTGTATGTTTATGTGTGTGTCTCTGTGTGTGTGTGTGTGTGTGTGTGTATGTGTGTGTCTCTGTGTGTGTGTGTGTGTGTGTGTGTGTGTGTGTGTATAGTGTGTGGTTGGAGTGAGTTATGCTGACCAGGCGTCCACAGACCAGGCCCAGTGTCATCTCTGCTTGTTCACAGACCCATTGGCACAACATGGAGAAAAGTACTTGAATAAGAAGTAGAGAGAGGAAAGAAGAGGAGGGAGGAGGGAGGCAGGGGGGACGGAGGGGGGAGGGAGGGGGGAACCGGGTTTATGTTGAAAATTCATTCTCCCTCGACCAAAAAGAACCTTGACAGCCCTGATACATACTAGAGCCATCTATGCAACCTCTTTCTGGTCTCTCTCTCTTTCTGGTCCCTCTCTCTGGTCTCTCTCTCTCTGGTCTTTGGTCTCTCTCTCTGGTCTCTCTCTCTGGTCTCCCTCTGGCCTCTCTCTCTCTGGTCTCTATCTCTCTGGTTTCTGGTCTCTCTCTCTGGTCTCCCTCTGGCCTCTCTCTCTCTGGTCTCTATCTCTCTGGTCTCTCTCTCTGGTCTCCCTCTGGCCTCTCTCTCTCTGGTCTCTCTCTCTGGTCTCCCTCTGGCCTCTCTCTCTCTGGTCTCTCTCTCTGGTCTCTCTCTCTCTGGTCTCTCTCTCTGGTCTCCCTCTGGCCTCTCTCTCTCTGGTATCTCTCTCTCTGGTATCTCTCTCTGGTCTCCCTCTGGCCTCTCTCTCTCTGGTCTCTCTCTGGTCTCTCTCTCTCTGGTCTCTCTCTCTGGTCTCCCTCTGGTCTCTCTCTCTCTGGTCTCTCTCTCTCTGGTCTCTCTCACTCTGATCTCTGTCTCTCTCTCTGGTCTCTCTCTCTCTTTGGTCTCTAACTAACACAGACTGTGCACATGGACAATGCTACCCCCCTATCTCATCAAAACACCAAATAAGGAAGTGCTCATGGACAAAGTTTTGCTCTGGCTCCTCTTGACTTTGATGTAAAAGTAAACTCCTGCAGCTCAGTGACCGTTTGTGTCGCACTCACATTGACAGAAACAAAGATCAAACAGAATACTTTTCCTGGATCACAAACAGATAAATACAGAGTAAAAGTACATTTGGCTGAGTCATGGTGAGATCAGTTTCTGCTGAGTCAGTTTGGGATGAACAAAAACAGACGCTCGCACAAAAACACAAAAGTGCCGCACAACATTCTTTAGAAACGCAACAATAACAGCAGCAACTGTAACTGACTGCCCCCAATGTAGGCTCCGTCCACGTGCACTAATGTAGGCTCTGTCCACGTGCACTAATGTAGGCTCTGTCCACGTGCACCAATGTAGGCTCTGTCCACGTGCACTAATGTAGGCTCCGTCCACGTGCACTAATGTAGGCTCCGTCCACGTGCACTAATGTAGGCTCCATCCACCTGCGCTAATGTAGGCTCCATCCACCTGCGCTAATGTAGGCTCCATCCACCTGCGCTAATGTAGGCTCCATCCACCTGCGCTAATGTAGGTTCCATCCACCTGCACTAATGTAGGCTCCATCCACCTGCACTAATGTAGGCTCCATCCACCTGCACTAATGTAGGCTCCATCCACCTGCGCTAATGTAGACTCCATCCACCTGCGCTAATGTAGGCTCCATCCACCTGCGCTAATGTAGGTTCCATCCACCTGCGCTAATGTAGGCTCCATCCACCTGCGCTAATGTAGGTTCCATCCACCTGCGCTAATGCAGGCTCCATCCACCTGCGCTAATGTAGGTTCCATCCACCTGCGCTAATGTAGGTTCCATCCACCTGCGCTAATGTAGACTCCATCCACCTGCGCTAATGTAGGTTCCATCCACCTGCGCTAATGTACACTCCATCCACCTGCGCTAATGTAGGTTCCATCCACCTGCGCTACGTCAATAAATATGACTGTTTAGGAGGCCCAGGTGATGTCACGTGAAACAGACACGAGGCGGAGAAAGTTTAAGGGACGGCACTGCCCTACTCTACTCTACTCTACCGTACTGTACTCAACTGTGCTCTACTTTACTCTACACTACTGTACCCTACTCTACTCTACTCTACTCTACACTGATTACATCTACAGTGATTGGTTAGAGTGCTGCTGGAAGCCATGGTTACCAAGAATATTGGTTTGTTGTGGGTGGGATGCTTGGATACAGAACCAGACCCAGACCCGACTCACCCAGACCAGACTCCCCCAGACAAGACTCACCCAGACCAGACTCCCCCAGACCAGACTCACCCAGAGGAAGAAGGTCAGGGCGTCGCTGCTGTAGAGGCTGTTGCTGAGGGGGAGGAAGACCGTGGTGTACGCAGCCCACACCGCGGCCCAGGTTGGTCCCGGCGGTCCTATCGAGTCCTCCTCCAGGCCCCTGGGCCCGACCCCACTCACTACCATCAGGGCAGCAGTGGGCCAAGCTGGCCTGGGGGGGAGCTACACGCTGAGGGAAGGGGGGAGGGAGGAATGGGGGAGGAAGAGGTCCCTCCAGCCGCAAACACCGAAGCAGAAGTAATAACAAACCAGAGCAAAGCCAAAGAGAGAGGAGCGCCGAAGTGCAGGGGTCTGAGAGGGACTGAAAACATGAGCTGGGACTGGGGTGGGAGGGGCCCATGAAGGGGGGGGACTGGGGGAGGCCGTGAGAGGGGCTAACCACCGACCAATGGGGAGTGAGATGCTGGAGTGGGAGGGGCTAACCATCGACCAATAGGGAGTGAGATGCTGGAGAACTTTCCTCTCATGGGACTTTCTCTTGTTCTGCTTCAAAGTCTTTTGTCCATGACACAGATCGTTCTGTTTCAGTCTCTTTGTTTCACACCATGTCACAGGTCAGCCACACATGGTCAACCACACATGGTCCATCACACATGGTCAACCACACATGGTCCATCACACATGGTCCACCACACATGGTCAGCCACACATGGTCAACCACACATGGTCCATCACACATGGTCAACCACACATGGTCAACCATACATGGTTCACCACACATGGTCAACCACACATGGTCAACCACACTTGGTCAATCACACATGGTCAACCACACAGGGTCAATCACACATGGTCAACCACACATGGTCCATCACACATGGTCAGCCACACATGGTCCATCACACATGGTCAACCACACATGGTCCATCACACATGGTCAACCACACATGGTCAACCACACATGGTCCATCACACATGGTCAGCCACACATGGTCCATCACACATGGTCAACCACACATGGTCCATCACACATGGTCAACCACATATGGTCAACCACACATGGTCCAGTCCTGGTCTCAGGTCTTCATCGTTGACATGTTAGTGTGGAATGAACCAACTCAGACTCTGGGGATCACAGGAACTGGCTGAGGATCACAGGGACTGGCTGTTATTAACCCTTGTTATGGCTCATGTGTGGATTTACAAGGACAACAAAGTATAAACACCAGGAGAGAGCGATAAACCACATTAATAATGACACAATCAGAACGAGTTGGAGCAAAACTTCATCCAAGAGCACTTCCTTATCAGGGTTCATTAAAATATAAGGCGGCACGGTGGAGTGGTTAGCACTCTAGCTTCTCAGAAAGTAGGTCCTGGGTTCAAATCCCGGTCGGAACAGGGCCTTTCTGAGTGGAGTTTACATGTTCTCCCTGTGTCTGCGTAGGTTTCCTCCGGGTGCTCCGGTTTCCCCTACCACTAAAAACATGCACAATAGGTACTGGCCCCTCTCATCTCTGTGTGGAGTCAGGACTAATGTAACAACTGTAAACCACTTTGACTCTGGTCTGAGAAAGTGCTATATAAAAAAATATTACAAGGAGGGCGACAGTAGCTCAGTTGGTAGAGCGCCTTTTAGCCAGAGGGTCAAGCCCGACTTTCACCACCGACTCCCACTGTCTGCTGTCGTTGTGTCCTTGGGCAAGACACTTAACCTCTGGGAACAGCAGGTGCCACAGTGGGGCGGCTGCGGCTGTAAAGTGCCAAACTGTGGTTGTGTCCTTAGGCAAGACACTTCCCCCACATTAGAATGAGTCTGTGTGTGAATGGTTGGTGGTGGTGGGAGGGGCCGATGGTACAGACTGGTTGCCTCACTTCTGTCAGTGTGCCCCAGGACAGCTGTGGCTACAGTAGTTTATCACCACCGTGTATGGAGTGAATGAATAATTACATGTAAAGCGTCCAAAAAAAGCGCTATATAAAACCCATGTAGTATTATTATTATTACTTACTAATTACTTACTTCTAAATTCCAGTGTGTGTGTGTGGGTGTGTGTGTGTGTGTGTGTGTGTGTGTGTGCGTGTGTATGTGTCTGTTTCTGTGTCTGTATGTGTGTGTGTGTGTGTGTGTGTGTATGTGTGTGTGTGTCTATTCAAGTAATTCATATTTCTTTGTATAGCACAGTTTGTGTACAATTCAAAGAGCAAATGAAAAACACAGATCAAAATGTATAGAAAAGGAAAAAGAAAATGTTCTCATTAAAACCAATGAAGTTCTGAGAAATTTCCTCAAAAAGTTCTCACCAATTTAATTTAATTTAATTATATTTGTACTTACCTTTAATTTGTGCTAAAACTGATGAATAGTCTTGTGTTTCATGAACCTGGCCAGTAGGGGGCGCATGAGCAGAGGTGGGACAGTGTTGCTCCCATGTAAAACCATGTAAAGTCTGTTTTGGAGTCAAAGGCTCTCCTCCTGTGCGGTGTACGGTTGTTGGAACAGTCTTAATCGCGGACACTCAATTATTATTATTATTATTAATCTTTATTAAAGGACACAATACAACACGGTCCATAGTCAATTCTAAGGAAGTACTAAAAATATTTCTCAAAAGAGTCTTGATTTTGGGCATTTTTGAAAAAAAAAACCAGAAGAAATTGCTGCGTTTCATTGGGGTGGCCTGCAGGGATCTGGGAAAGCCTTGATGCACCTCGCCCGCCTCATTCCAGTGATTTTTTCAAAGTGTCCTCCTTTATATGAGACCACAGTTTTGTTCATGAACAAACTCTTGTCTTTCTATATTTGTGTGGTTGCTACAAGCGTACACCGCACAAAAAGACGGCATTTCGACAGCGCTTCTTCTTCTACTATATCACCGTGTATAAACCGCTTCTTCTTCTACTATAGCTCCGTGTATAAACCGCTTCTTCTTCTACTATATTTCCGTGTATAAACCGCTTCTTCTTCTACTATATCTTTGTGTATAAACCGCTTCTTCTTCTACTATATCTCCGTGTATAAACCCGGCAGACTGCACCGCCAGGATACGTCACGTCCTGTCCTACGTTTGTTATTCACTGCCCTGACGTCTTATGAAACCCAAGAATACGGTACCTTTAAATACAGCTAACGGCTAAATGCTAACGGCTGACAGTAAACAGTGTGTTGCTATGGTAACTAGCATCAAGTTTAACCAGAACCAGCACCTTGAAGAAAAAAAAAGCGACTGAAAATGGCTACATCCTAATTTGCATTATAATTATTGGAGCAGTCAAAATGACGGCTGTAGAACGACACACGTTCAGAAAACAGTGACATAAACAACACATGTCAAAGGTATGACCCAGAGTCACAGCTGAGTGGTTACTTCCAACACTCAACGCCGTCAAATTGACTGCTCTGGGAGTATGAGTGTTACCATGTGAGGATGTGACTGACCATGCCGTAGTCCACGCCGTTGGAGATGGTGTGGCGCCGCTGTGCGTCCCGGCTCCTCCCGTGGCGCCTGGTCCCTGTGAGGCCCGTGGCAGACTCACTCTGGGATCTCGGTAAACCGGATTTACCAACTCCACCTGAGCCACAGGAGATAGACAGGCAAGGATTAGATTATTAATCTGGGATCCCCAGATTAGATTATTAATCTGGGAACCACGGATTAGATTATTAATCTGGGAACCCCGGATTAGATTATTAATCTGGGAACCACGGATTAGATTATTCATCTGGGAACCCCGGGCCTTGGATCCTGAGAAAGAAAACTGTCATTGTGTAAAAACATTAAACAGCATTGTAGTGTGACATCACCTAAACAGTCAGATTCATGTGAAATTACCTCAACAGTCAGATTCATGTGACATCACCTCAACAGTCAGACTCGTGTTCATTTCTCTGGTTAGAAGCACCACATACGAAACAAAAGTGGAGCAGACAACCTATCTTCTGTTCAGTATCGCCATATTTTTTTTGATCATAAAGCCCTGAGGCTCCTGTACAGTACCTTGATATTGCCCCGTTTCACCTACTGTGTAGAAGTCATACATACAAACTCCCATACATCCTTTAATCCTCTTCATAAAGTGGACTCAAGAGAACACACAAACAAGCTCTTCACACAATCTAAACTGTTAAATCTTGAGGATCTGATCAAACTACAGTCACTCAGTTTGATGTACAAAGCCAGAGACTCGCGAAGCCCAGGCATTACTCGTTGTAACTGTCATAAGTCACAATCTCCGGGCTGCGACGGCACGTGCCCAAGCACTGATAAAACCGTATGGCTTTGTTCCTGCTGTAGTACACAGTGAAATGATCAAAGTCCTATTAAAGGGCTGGGTTACTTCAACTGTCTTACGGCCCCCAAGCCCGACGGCACGTGCCCAGACACTGATATAACAGTGCCGGAGGCACTGAATGGCTTTGCTCCTGCTGTAGTACACAGTGAAATGAATGGGGTCCTATGGGGGGGGGTGGGTAAACCTATATTGTTTTTGCTCGAAGATTAAAAAAAAAAATTCCTTGGTTTATTTATTTATTTATTTATTTTTTCTTCTGCACTTTGAGCCTTAATTTGACCCCCTGAACATTGATGAAAAGTTATAAAATTTTGTTAAACGTTGTCCGAGCAGCGGAGCGGCAAAATGTGACATTTTTTTTTCAATTTTTGACAAAAGTAAATTTGCTCCCGTTTGCACAAACAAAGCCGGATTTGCACAACATTTTAATCCATTGTTCAACTCCAGGCTCCAGGTCATTTGAATGTGGAAATATTGAAATTGGCTCATTAGCGCCCCCTACAGACTATGTCAAAGTTTTACATGAGCCTAATAAAATTTAGTTTTTTCAAAATGTTTGAAATTTTGCACATAATTCTGTTTTGTCATCTGGATTCAAAAAGTCAATGACAACATATGGTTATTTTTTACCCTGTTGCCGTGGCAACAACCAACACTCCCCTGTCTGTGTTTATGGGAAAATCATTATATCTCTGAAAAGAACACCTCGCTCAAACATCAAACCAGCCGTGGCCGTTTCAATAATTTGGCTGAAAATCGCTCCACATCGTCTCAACACATGGACCATCAATAGTTGAATATAGAATTTGAATTAGTCAAACAGTCTGCGCGTGACGGACTTCCAAATTGTGGTTATTTTCATAGAGAGGTGTGAAGTTCCCATGTTATCCAATGGGGACTGTATGGACACACTCACAGATTGTATGTGCAAACAGGAGCACATTCACAAACTCTGATTTGCACTAAACTTGACTCTGTTGTTCAACTCTTGGGCCTAGGTCACATGACAGTGTGAACAATGACATTGGCCCATTAGCGCCCCCTACAGACTGAGTAAAGGTTTACATGTGGATACAGGCATTGAGGTTTTCTATTGTTAGATCTCATATTTGACCCACTGAACAAACACGAAAACTCAAAAAACTTTGGCTCCATTTTTTTCAGGCAAAAAGTGTATTATTTTGGTGATCTTTGGTGTAACACAAAAAAATTGAAATTGTAGGGGGCGCTTTGTACGACATAAATGCCACCATTTGCACATACAAAGTAAAATTTGCACAAAATTTGAATTGATTGTTCTACTCTCGGGTTTGGGTAAACTGAAAGTATCCATCCATCCATTTTCTTCCGCTTTATCCGTTGCCGGGTCGCGGGGGCAGCAGTCTAAGCAGAGACGCCCAGACTTCCCTATCCACACACACTTCCTCCAGCTCGTCTGGGGGGACCCCAAGGCGTTCCCAGGCCAGCTGAGAGACATAGTCTCTCCAGCGTGTCCTGGGTCTTCCCCGGGGCCTCCTCCCGGTGGGACGTGCCCGGAACACCTCCCCAGGAAGGCGTCCAGGAGGCATCCTGAACAGATGCCCGAGCCACCTCAACTGGTTCCTCTCGACGTGGAGAAGCAGCGGCTCTACTCCGAGCTCCTCCCGTGTGACTGAGCTCCTCACCCTATCTCTAAGGGAGCGCCCAGCCACTCTGCGGAGGAAGCTCATTTCGACCACTTGTATCCGCGATCTCGTTCTTTCGGTCATTACCCACAGCTCATGACCATAGGTGAGGGAGGGAACGAAGATTGACCGGTAAATCGAGAGCTTCGCCTTTCGGCTCAGCTCCCTCTTTACCACAACGGTCCGATACAGAGACCGCATCACTGCGCACGCTGCACCGATCCGCCTGTCAATCTCACGCTCCATCCTTCCCTCACTCGTGAACAAGACCCCGAGATACTTGAACTCCTCCACTTGAGGAAGGACCTCTCCACCCACCTGGAGAGGGCAAGGCACCTTTCAAGGCAGCAACTGAAAACTGAAAGCATAAAAGACGAAATTGCAACAATAACGCCTCCTACAGACTGAGTCAAGTATTACATGGGGAGAATGAGGTTTACCTTTTCAATAGACACACACAATCACTGATCATAGGCATTCAAAATGCACAGCGTCGCTCCCATCAGGGCGGTAGGAAAATGGCGGGTCAGCGCCACCTCGGTTGCGTTATGCGGCAAGGGCCGTTCGACGCCGCTTGCGGCTTTGATTTTTCTTTGTTCTGCTCCTTTTAATTTGTGCGACAAGATGACAATTATTTGAAATGTAATTGTAATATGAGAAGTATTGTTTTGTCCACAATTGAAATAAATAAATAAATGTTGTCTTGTCTGTAATAAAGTCCTTAATTTTTGCCATTTCCAAACCCCTACTTCTCATCCTCTCAGTTTTGACTTTGAGAAGACAATAGCACCTCCCAGGCGGTACCTCCCACATGGTACCACCCAGACAGTACATCCCAGACGGTACCTCCCAAATGGTACCACCCAGACAGTACCTCCCACATGGTACCACCCAGACAGTACCTCCCAGACGGTACCTCCCAGACAGTACCTCCCACATGGTACCACCCAGACAGTACCTCCCAGACGGTACCTCCCAGACAGTACCTCCCACATGGTACCACCCAGACAGTACCTCACACATGGTACCACCCAGATAATACCTCCCAGAAGGTACCTCCCAGATGGTACCTCCCACATGGCACCTCCCAGGCGGTACCACCCACATGGATCTCCCAGGCGGTACCTCCCACATGGCACCTCCCAGGCGGTACCTGCCAGACGGTACATTCCAGACAGTACCTTCCACATGGTACCACCCAGACAGTACCTCCCAGACGGTACCTCCCACATGGTACCACCCAGACAGTACCTCCCAGACAGTACCTCACAGACAGACCAAAAAAACTGCTTGTTTTTTGCAGTCTCTGAATCTGTGGTGTTGTAGAGAATCTGTCGTGACCTGACGCAGCCACCAGAGGGAGCCAAAGACAGAGGATCCCACCCAATGTGCATGTGGGAATATGCACTGATACAATAACTACATACAAGTCTTCTTCTGCATTTACAGTGACGTGGCTTTTGGCATTGACTGATTTAGTGGTAGTTACAGTACAGTTTTTACAGTAGTGTGTGTGAGAGTGGCCCGGCATTTCAACGTGTGTGTGTGAGCATTTCAACATGTGTGTGTGAGCATTTCAACATGTGTGTGTGAGTTCAATCCCGCTGTAGCCTCAGAGTTAGTTTGGAAGATATATTTTGACCTAGAATATGCCAAGAATGCAGCTGGAATCCTGAGCTAAAACAAATCTGTAAATTGGCATCAATAAGCGAGTGAGGATTAAGATGAGTGGATGAAGAGATCCTTCTATTGTCCCGCAGATTGGGACATTCCAGTGTTGCATCGCAAGTTACAGAACAGAAGGAAAGAGGAGCACACAAGTGAATATTAAGTAGTAGCACAACCCAATACTTTTTAAAATCTAAGTCTTTAATAAAGAAGCAAAGTATAAAGTCTTGTGTAAGAAATATATACTAATATGTACACAGTCCTGGGTCTACAGCCTCAGTCTTGGGTCTACAGCCTCAGTCCTGGGTCTACAGCCTCAGTCCTGGGTCTACAGCCTCAGTCCTGGGTCTACAGCCTCAGTCCTGTGTCTACAACCTCAGTCCTGGGTCTACAGCCTCAGTCTTGGGTCTACAGTCTCAGTCCTGGGTCTACAGCCTCAGTCCTTTGGGTCTACAGCCTCAGTCCTGGGTCTAAAGCCTCAGTCCTTTGGGTCTACAGCCTCAGTCCTGGCTCTACAGCCTCAGTCCTGTGTCTACAGACTCAGTCCTGGGTCTACAGCCTCAGTCTTGGGTCTACAGCCTCAGTCTTGGGTCTACAGCCTCAGTCCTTTGGCTCTACAGCCTCAGTCAGTCCTTTGGGTCTCCTGGACTGTCCTTTCCTCTTATGAAGATGGACTAATATTTTTACACCAAAAAACTATTTACAAAGCTGTTCACAGATACATCATCTCCACGTGTCACATTATCCAAACCCGGGCACAGCTCTGTCCCGGTCCAATCCGGTCCAATCCGCTCTAATCCGTCAGGTTTTGGCGCATGTGAAAGATTACATCGATGTTTTTTCTGCAGCTTTGTAAATGTACCAGCTCAACAACAACACGCAAACTGTACTTTTTATGTAATAATATCGTTTCACAACAGCAGGAGGTGACGAGAGACGAGAGAGCAC